GCAATTCTATACTATGTTGATTTATAGTCTTAGTAGCTTTCGGCACCTTAATAGTTGCCTGTGGATTAATTTAATATATTTCCGAGTAAATGCGTTTGACCTTGCTTCGAGCAAATTTTCTTGTAAACAAAAATTATCTAGCGGAAAATAGATATGACACTGTGCCGCGTCTTTATTCTCATTTTGCGCTCAAAATTGCTGATTTTTTTGCTTCTATTACAAAAGGCACAACGTGACTTTCCCGAATCAGGTTTTTCAAGTATTGACAAAATCAATTCCCAGTCATCACGTCGTAACATGACATCATCATATATTAACATGACGTAACAGTAATTTTTTATTCTAACTACAATATCAGTCATACAAAGGCGTTTGGGAGTTCTGTATTCTTTAAATTTTCCGTGCTGACAATGAAAATTAGCATTCAGTACATTTAATATAATGAACATAGCCAGCGTACAAAATTTGGTCCTAACAGCGACAGATTTTCCATTATGACCGCTGTAGGAACGATACAGGTAGGCCTATGACATGTTAACATTTTATGCACATGATAGGTCAGTTCAGGACAAGTATCATTTTATATTTTCTTATTCATCCATGTGACCGGGAGTTTCCAAATTACATAAAATTCTGACAACGTTTTCATGAATCGTGACTAATTTTAATATTCTGCCAACTAATTAATGACAAAATAAAATTAATGAAAGATCTAATAATTTATTGTTTTAGACAATTCATCATATCTCGACTAGACAATACGACAAATGTTTCGAATCATGTCAGTTTTTGTCGCGTTTCTTGAAATATATCCAAATTTTAACTATCAATATTGGAACGTATGAAAAACTTGTCAGAAATAACTTCCCTGGAATTTAAGTCTCAGTTCAGAGGGGTACAGTGGTTATGGTCATGATATAACATCTAATTTTACTGGCTTTACATAACTATATCTTAACAGTGAAGTGTAAATTGGTATTTTTAGGCATCTGATAGACTTGACTAGACAATCGAATTCAAAATGTGTTTTTGGAGTAGCATCGTCTACAGTAGACGATATATGCAAATAAAATTCGTTTAAAAATAGGGCGATACATATATTACGTAATGTATTGCTTTTTACACAAAGAAGATATAGTTACACGAAAAGACTATTTTAAAGGCGGAATTACTTTCACAGATAATTAGTGCAGGTTTGCTTCGTTATTGTAGGGGGCAGTTCGAACTTTTTAAAACTCTTTTATCTGGAATACTTTATTGTAATTTACTAGGGTTGTAAGATTCGGAATATCGAAGCGATTCGAATCAACATCAATTCGAATTGATTTGAGGCAATTTCAGAAAAAAAGCTTAATTGTGTTTGACTGCTTAAAATCTTAAGAAGTTTTACAAATATGTCAACATATAAACAACATCATTCTTTATTAAAAACATAGTTCTGTGATGTTTCCCTGGTAATCATTGCTCTTTTTGGCGACAACGGCACTTCCGTTTGTTATATCGATAAATTTTGAAGGACAATTTTAGAAGAAAATGATAACTATACTTCCGGTATTGTTGGCAAACGAAAATTCATGTAATGAAAAATTAATATGTAACTAAGTGTATCCAGTGGGATTCAAATTTTTTGTCAGCCGGTTCCTTCACAAAAGTTATATATATTTTTTAGCTGGTTCTGTTACAAACAGAGCATTGACAGTAACCAGTAATTCTAACCGGTTCGCTGATCTCATAAAATTCCGTGAGACGGTTCTATAGAACCGGTGCGAACCGGCTGAATCCCACCACTGTGTGTATCTCTATGTAAAAAAAAAAATTCAATTTTCTCAGACTGAATAAACCGGATATTTGTTGCATCCATAGAATAAATTTCATCTACTAGCTCATTCATTCTTTAGTTCATAAATATTATTTAATCTCAATTATCCTGTGGTTATTCTAAATTTGGGTAAAGTTAATGATAATATGATATTATACTAAATAGAATCAGATCCGGAAATACCTGAATTCTGGTTCGAAAACTAAAAATTCAAAACTTACAACCCCAATTGTGAGTTCTAAGCTAACCTCCATCGTTACCATTATTCAATAATTTGCCAAGTGCCTCGAATGCACAGCAGCCATACGCAATAAAAAATTGTTGTGATTGTTTATGATAGAATTACAATTTTATCGCAATGGAGAGGAAAGCCGAGCGCACTGTCCATTACCACGATGACGAATATCAGTGATATAAAACACTTTTTCATCGTGATTTGCTCTAGCAGTATATCATTCAACAGTATTTTATGAAGTAAAAGTTATTCAAACAATATGCCCATACGAATTTATACTCCATTTCTCATTTAGCATGATAGTCACTACGTCACTGAGAATTTAATATTTTGGAACTTCTTGGGAAGTCGGGAACTATTAATAAAGTTCGTATTATGAGGACACCTTTTTTTTTCTTTATGACGATAAAAATTTCAACAATTTGAAACTTTACGGTAAAAGTATTCTCTAGTTTGTGAGAAGGTTAGTCAACAGTTTCAGTCACGACTCTAACGTTACGTTGGTAAATTCACTATTTCCATGCTTGTCATTCTGCGAGTTTTTTGTAGTATTGTCGTGACCAAGTTTGAATCGGTATAAAATCAATTTATATCGTGATAGATCAGATGTACACTAGAAATTACCATTTGTACATACTACCTTTCTATAGTTCAGTAACCTACTGTTGACTCTAATTAGATGAACATATAAATATTTTTTCAAATGTTTTAAACTTTTCATTCAATGTTTGTTAATTTATGGTTTAGACTGGTTCGCTATTCAGTTTTGTTGCTTGCTGAAACATGAAATCAAAAGCTTAGGTAGGATTTATATTATTTTAATATTGATGTCAGTTTTTTATTTACTGGGCCTTAGATTATTTATGAGTAATAATAATTTCGATTTGGCCATGTCTGGCGTTTCAGGTAATAAAATACGATATGTACAGCATGGAATTGATGCTGAACAATATTGGTATGGTAGGATATTTTTGATATATTGTTAGCAGACTCATTGGGTATATTTAGCAAATATTTTCTTAGAATGGAATTTGTTAACTTCTTGATCAAGATCAAAGTTGCTATATTTGATCTACAGTGGAGTTTGGCTTCCGGTCGCTGTCGCTCAGACACGCACGGTTAACGTTTGATCGATCGACCACGGATTGACCACCTGAACTTTGCAAAAACATTATTCCTTGATGACGATGTTGAAAGAAACATTTCAACGCCAAATTAAATATATTTTAGTTTGGTCCATGTATTGCTTCTAGACCTTTCTTATAATTTAAGTGATACGTTTTTTATCAAATTGTTACAAAATTGAATAAAACATTGACTGATTTGATCAGAATTTAATTGAATTGTTGTAAAACAAATTGGATATCCGTTTGTACTTTTATTGAATCAGAAATCGAAAGTTTGAATTCACTAGTAATCGAAAATACACAAATCAACTTGGCATGCCTCGATTTCTCAGTGTGATAGAAATTTTATTTTAACTTTCTATCACAACTCCTGTCAGGTCAACAAGTCGAAAAATTTCGTGATCTTTAATTTTTGATATGATTTGTGATCCGACTCATTAGAATCATGAAATGAAGCAAATTGATCAATTCAGTGTTACTTTGTGTCTACCGGTAACTCAACCAATGTGCAAGTTAATTCCATATCGACCCTTTATAATGAGTTAAAAGTGAAAGGTGAAAACATTAGATTGCCAATATCTGCCAACAATGATACATATACTTTCATTTACGGAACAGAAGTATATTTCACATACTCATTCATTGATAATTTATTTTCATTTGTATTTTACTAACACATCGTTTATAGTGCCTGCAGAATTACTACGCGGTACTCCCGTGTGTACCAGGTTAGGGTTAGGCCACGATTTTATTTCAATTTTCCTTATTTTAGTTCTATTACGAGTTCGAGGACTGTTTGTGTTAGCCAAGTGAATATACCCCCTGCTCAAATGCTTCCGTCCCTTTACACAACTTGATGTAAAGTAGGCGAACAAAATTGGTTACCTCCATATTGGTACGCATACTTCTGGAGCGCCTACTAAGCCAAATTCAGAGATCCATCGTTTTATTTATTTTTTATTTCGCAATATTTATTCAAATGGCTGCAGGCCAACTGACACCACCTGTCATCATATGTTCGAATGACCCGGATATTTAAAGATATAATTCATGGTATAAACATTTCTTGTCGTAATTAATCTTCAAAGTTATTGCAAGTCCATTCCAAGTTCATATGTAATTAAAAATTCCTAATCAATGTGACAGATTATGTACGTCAATACCAAATTGTAATTTCACTCTCGAGCGGAAATATAGCATCCATACGAACTACCATCCATTAATTGTAAGTGATTGATTGGCTTTCATTGGAAAATCAAAGTACGCGTAGGTTTCTTATTTTTTACTCCTTCAGTAGCTTTTTTGTGCGAATTTCAACATCGCGAACTTGTTGTTAGCATTGTGAATAGTTCGTACCAATTTTCAAGTGAAAGATAATCTAATTGTATATAGCGCTATAATCAAGCGCTGCTATTTATTCAGAATATACACAGGTATGCCAACGAACCTCTAGGGGGAAAGAGATTAAAAATAAATTATTTTCAGTATCGAAGATTTTCCAATTCGGCATAGCAGTTTATTTAGCGAAAATATTAATATTACATTCAACTATTTTTTTTAAATTATTTGAGCTTATTAAACATTTGACTCATACCACAAAATTTTTATCATGATTCAGCATTGCCAGAATAATGAGCCAATTGTTGTTTATTCAAATCATCAAAAATTGACGGAGATGAAAATAATTGAACTTTAATGCTACCTCCACAAAATTGACTCTCGAATAATACAACGTACTTTAATAGGTTTAAATTAAACTTGGTATATTTATCTTGCACGAATTTAAATTTTCGTTTTACAGACCTAATTAATTTTGTTTAATTCGAGTAGTAAGCCGAATGCTGATGGACATTTTAGAATAAATGACTAGACCGACTTAAATAGAATTTTACGAAAAACTGGTTTTCCAACAATGTTGTCCATTTGTGGGAATATTTCGCGTAATGGAAATGTTTGAAAAGTGAACCTTGTCGTATATTTCAATTTTTTTTTAAACTTTTAGTGAGAAGTGTTTTCATTTGGACCTGGTAAGCATGACAAGGAAAGGTAATATATTCTAAAAAATGTTTCACGAGCAGTGGCATTTGAAATATTTTGTTACATTTTAAAAACTATATATTTGGTTGAGCAGTAATTTTAGCCAGTTCGCAAAAGAAGTTAATAGAACCTTGACATTTAGTGTGTTTCTTATATATTTTTATTATGATTGGATAACCATGACTTTCGTGAACAGTAGATAAACTGTAAGCTTTCAAAACCTCTATTGTTTACGATACCGTGGATGATTATACTTGATGTAGCATCGAATACAGGAGAGAGAATTAGACGGATTTTGAGGCTAAGAACTAACGAAGAAGAAATTCTTTTGTAACAATCAAAGTTGTAACTGTCATGTAGATGTAGATGAAACATGATATGCATTTTCAAAATATTTTTATAGAGGTTTTGTGGGATTATATGAATATCTTATTTTTTTTTTCTAATATTATAGAATATAAGTGGATAGTAGAGCATGTATGTTTATATATTGCTCTTCGGAATACTCTTGAGTGTTGGACAGACGTTTGGTAAGAGAATGTTTATTTTACGCATGAGAAAACTCTATTACATCAAATAAACTCAAAGATTATCAGAAAATTGTCATTTGTCGTTTATTTTATTTTGATAAGTTTGGGAAATTTTTGCTCGTCAATTTATCATGTAAATTGCTAAAGAATATAAATAGTTTTTTTGACCTCCTGAAGTATGCGCACCAAGATGGCGCACAACCTGAACTCAGGTTGTGTACAAGGTTAGGGTTCAGGTTATGCGACATCTTGGTGCGCACTGCGCATACTTCAGGAGTACCGTTTTTTTTTTAAATTAATGTATTATGTGAGTTCGAAAATTTGTTTAGTTTTTCCCGTTGTAAATGATATTTTATTTTATCGTTTAAACAAGTTTCTTGCTCGGTTCACCTATTCGTTTCAACAAATTTCGTCTACTGAGTCTTAATTATAACTCAATATACCAAAATATTGGTGAGTGCTATGAGTCATTCTCATGTAATTTACGACATTTAAATTGAGGTTATTTAAAAATCTTCACATTTTTTCGTAAATTTCAAACCGCAGTATTGTACTGAAGTAATAAACAAATAAACACTTCTGATTATTTTCAGGTTTGAAATGTTGGACATGCGTGAACGCAAAATCGAATCGACAATGCAATAAGATAGGATATTGGAGAACATGCGATGCACAAGAGGTATGAACGAAGTTGAGTTCAGGTTTACTTTATTTGACCAGGAATGAATAGCAAAATTGTCGCGATTAGGAATTAGTTTTTTATATTTGACAGTCAAACGTTTTGTATTTTCTGTTTCTAATATTGCCAGATAGGTCAATTTAGCAATAAAAATATTCTTGGAATTAATGTGTATATAAAACAGAAGAACAGATGACTAAATGAATAAATTCAAAACGTGAGAATAATGATATTGCAATAAATTTTGCATCCGCCGTACATGATGATGAAATTCATTTCATATAAAAATAACTTTAATATTAATCGCAACATCGCCCCGGGGCCGGCAATTGAGAACACGTCAAGCTGGTCGCTGTCGGATATAAATGTCGTGAAAAAAATGTAAAATATATGATGATTTTGACAAAATTTCGGGTTGCGTGTAGTTTTGTATGGGCAAATCGATGAATATAATATTGAATGACATGGAAATATAAACTATACTACGTGTTTGATTAATATGAGAAAAATGCTGCGACATGTTTGACAACTTTTGATATTTGTATCCAATGATATTCTTTTCTTCAAAATTGATTTATACCACTTAATTGAATTTCCCGGGAAATCGAACTTCGGTCGTTTCAACTGTCACGCATTAATTTGGATAAATATCTTTATTTTCAAAAGAGCACGCGAAGAGCCACCGACAATTAAAGCCATCAATCATGTTAATGCTTGGCTCTTTGTGGTAGCTATGTGATTTTGTAGAAAAAAAATAATGAACAAACATTTACTCACGGCAAAAGCTTAATACGTTCTGTTTGCTCAAAATCAGGTATCGGAACGAATGAATTGATTCGAATTGAATCACGCCTGCAAACTCAAAATCAAACTGCGCAAGTTTTTTTTTGCAGCAGGTGGCAACGTCCGTTCGCCTTTTTTCATTTTGAGAAAATACAAAGAGTAACTATGATAATCGCTGTCTTGGCTTATTGCCCTATTTATCAATTTATCATTTAAAACCGTTCATATTCAACATATTGAGATCATTGAATAACTTTATTCAGATATATTGTCACAATGAAGTTCAAGTAAGAAATGGAGTCAGAGGACGTGTCACGAAAAGATGTGCGCAGGCCCCAGCGTGCAACCAGGTACCTTGGGAAATAAGTTAACTATTGTATAAATTTATGTTTATTCTGAAAAATCTTCTAGGAATAGACATATTTATATATATCAATTAACCGCTTGTAATTTAATTCATGGCATGTTAGTCGTTCTTTGGTGGTTTTGGCAAACAGGATGATACGTGACAGACTACCCATTTTTTTTATCTTTTAAACAGAAAACAACGTTAAAACATTACTAAAAAGTGCATAAAAAGTCCTGGGTAATTTGGTATTCTTCAAAAAAAAAATTATCACCATTGTTCGAATTGATATTGTTTAATGACATAAAAGGAAAAGAAATACAGATATCTGGAAGACATACAGATACTATCAATTTCATTTATATGAAATCATGGCGAATAGACTATTGAAAAAAATCATATTGATATTTTAGTAATTATTTTTCTCATATTTGAAAATTTATTATATATATGAACAAACTTTTAATCATCAGAATGCTGAAAATGTAACAGAAACAAGGTGTAATGGGAACCCTAGAAAATCGGCAGCTTGTAGTTGTTGCTGTAATCAAGATAATTGCAATGCACCACTGTTTAGATGCGGTGGAGGTAAGTTTGCAAGTTTCTTTTAGCCTAGTTTGTTGGCCTGGTACATAGCCCAGTTTAGTATTCTGCCACACTAGCTTCGTGAATTTGTAATCCTGCTTATAGAAACCACGGCCATATTTGAACTACACACTAATCTCGTGTGTTCGAATTAAATCTTTGTCCTTATTGTATGAATATTAAATCAAGTTAAATCGTGTACCAACATGGCAAAATATTGATATTTTTATAAAGTCTTTTAGCCAAATACGAATTCTAAACGTATTGAAATTTCGTCGATATGTATCAGCTATGTATATTATTTGACTACGGATAACTAAAAAGATATAGATATATATACCAAAATCTCCACACAACTTCTAGATTAGTTTCGGCCTGATCAGCCATACAATAGTTTTACAGTATCTAACTTGATTAAACATTGTGAGACGTGGCTCAGCATTTGTTTGAGTCCAGCATGATGGGTTAGCTTACATACGAAAATTCCTATATATATCAAAATATCCAACTATAAGATCCCCACCGATTTTCAACAAGGCCAAAATATTCCATACTGTAGAAGCTAAATAAAAATAATTTACTGTATTCAAAAAACTTTCCAGCTGAAATGTGCAAAAGGCCTCGTTATATTCAAAACGGAGAAATATCGTGCCCGAAGAAGATTAATATAGGAACAGTATGCAAGCTGAGATGTCAAAGAGGATTTATTCCAAACAGAAATAATGTTATAAAATGCCAACATACTCCAGGAAATAAACCAGAAAGAGCGTTTACAAATCTATTGGGCTTGAAATGTATACGTAAACAACCACGATGTCCCTCGCTTAAAAACACAATTGTGCCGAGAGGCACTTTTAGTTGTAAAAACGTTCGACCACATATTAGGAAATTTATGAAAAATTTTCAAGGTACAACTTGTACTTTCAAATGCAATAGCAATGCATTTATGTCTGGAAATCCTAGTCTTGTTTGTAATGCTGGGCATTGGAGTCATGGAATTCCTAGATGTATTGTAGGAAGATGTCCGGCGCCACAAAAGGAAGAACTTACCTTTAGACAATGCACCGCTGGAAACAAATTTGGAAGTATGTGTAGCTATACATGCGCAATCGGACTAAAAATAATAGGAGATTCAATTTCAGTATGTGGACCAACTACTAATGATCCTTCGAGAGGAGAATGGGACAATGGGATTCCAAAATGTAAGATTGTACAATGCCCATCTCACGTATCAGTGAGCAATGGAGAAGCGCTACTGACAAATGACAACTTTGAAGGTAGTGTTTGTATCTTCTCTTGCAAACCTGGATTTGATTTAGTAGGAACTCCATTCATTGAACTTGAAAGCGTATGTGAAGACGACGGAACAGGTGTTGGAAAATGGAGTGAGCCAGCACCTACGTGTTCCCAAATTACTTGTGATCCTGTTTTCAAAGCCCCAGAAAATGGAGCTGTGTTTTGTACTGATGACAACAAGTGGGGGAGCGCTTGTACATTCAGATGCAACTCTGGGTATGATTTGGGTGACACGTACTCTAACAGCATAAGATGCTTTTGTGAAGAAGGTAGAAATAGAGATAACATTGGAGAATGGAGTCGAAAACCTCCAACCTGTACTGCCATCAAATGCCCGTCTGTAAGAAAGGCCCCTATCAACGGTTATGTTACTTGCACAAACGCAAATTTTGCAGAAAGTGTCTGTACTTTCAGGTGCAAACCAGGCTTCGACTTGGATATGACACCAAAAAAGACTTTTACAAATCGTTGTGTTGACAGGGGATACGGAACAGCCACTGGCGAATGGGACAATTTTGAGCCTGGCTGTAGACGTAGAATATCTTGTTTACAAAAACACGAGTTTTTAGCAAATGGAAACGTGGAATGCACAAATGGTAATTTGGTGGGTAGCGCATGCAAATTTACTTGTTATAAAGGTTATCGATTGGTAGGTAGAGTATATTCAAATTGTGTCGAACTTTTGGCTGATGGAGATGATATTGCAGAGTGGACTAGCAAACCACCACGATGTGAGGCCAGTCACTGTCCATTTCAATGGTACGACAAAGATCTTGTGATGGAAGATTGCGTTGGCAGAAAGACTAATCGTAAATCGTTTCACCTTCTTGGAACAAAGTGTCATTATACTTGCAAACGTCCGGGTTATTATCCAGCCATGGCTAGCAATAAATTTGTGCAAGCTAGAACTACTGTGGCCACTTGTCTCAGTTCTTTAAGTTGGAGTACAAGACCTCCGAGATGTTTTGTGAAAAAGTGCCCTCATATTCCAACACCGAAACATGGCTATGTACCGGACTGTTCAAATGCAAACAACTTCGGCTCAAGATGTGAATTTTGGTGCAAATATCCGCATAAAATATCTCATAAATCTAAATTATTATGTGTCAGCAAAGGCAGAAATGGAAGGCTGGGCAGATGGAATAAATCACCGCCAACATGCGATTCTGTGAAATAAGATTCAAGATTATTTATAGCGCATAAAGCATGGTATTTTCAAATAGGAAAAGTCAGTTCCAGTCGATGGAGTAACGCGAAATCATAATTGACTAAACAGAGTGTTATCCATACACACCTGTTGGCGTAAAAACACTGTATTAGATGGCAAATTTATGACTTTTTGTCAAAATACACTTCATTTACTTACAATTCAGACAAAGAATCACTTTGTAACAAATTTTAACCTTTTTTAACGACGAGAACTATATATAAAAGAACTTTGAAGAAAGAAAGAAAATTTCAGGTTCAGCCTTTAAATATTGGCACGTTCATATAAAGACATGCCATATTAAGGCATGCCATAATTTTTGTGTTTGAAAACGAATTTGCAAAAAGGATACTTTATTGAGCATGATATATTAAAGATAAATAAAATATTCTTCATTGATATGCATCTACTATCTGAAAGTCTGACGACTATAATACTGAAAAATGACTGAGAATTGAGCAATAGGCATACATGATCTCAAGGGGAGTTTCTCCAGAAAACAAACACAATGGGGATTTTTTTTTCTATTCAGATGCGTGGCAGTCGTTCAGTTTCCACTTACACTGGAAAGAGTAAAACGACAATTATTCAAATAGAGTTGGATCATTTGTAATTGATGTAATTAATTACAGTTTTTCATGTAATTGAGGCATTTTCATTCTGTGTAATTGTAAATGTAATTTGCTAAAATTTTTGCTCAATTACACTTTCAATTAGACCAGGGATCACCAAACCATGGTATCCTTTCATCTGGCCCGCAATAACACGAAAAAGGGCGATATATTTTTTCAAGGGGCGTTTTCCGGGAATCGCCTTCCTTTTTTATTTCGTAACATTAGCCAATCAGCAGGACGCGAAAAATTGACGTAACAATATGCCTTTCCGCATCCGTTAGGACACTCAGACAGATTTTCAGTCGTGGTTGTAAACAATACCTCATTTTGCGATTTCGAATGCTATTCGTTAGATTGCATTTTGACGAAAACCCATTTAATGTATTGGAAGAAGAAATCATAAGAATTTCCCAGGCTTGCTTCTTTAGCCAAGCATTATTTGGGACTAACAGCAACATCAGCCCCGTCAGATAGAGTTCTTTCAGTTGCGGGTAACTTTTATACGGCAAGAGTAAATTTATTGGGGTCAGAAACTTTTCGTAGCCTAATTTTACATCAAGTGCAATCAAACAGTTTTTGAGCAAGAGAAACTGTGAATATGAACCAAAATGTTATTGGACAGGTTAGTGGACACAATGATCGTTTTGACCAAAACTTTTGGTATTTTGTGTTGTTGTTCTTTGACATAGTTATTGAAAAGTCGCATTTATCTTCGATTACTGGACCTAATGCTCTGAAATTTTCAGTGGTTGAAGATGGAATTTGTTTCTAGAAGGCTATTACTTTTTTATTTCTAAATTTCGTATGAAATCTGATATTTCGTCCAAGATTTCGCTGTATTATTTTATCCATAGGAACACTGGCTGTCTGGTTTGATTCTTGCTACGCTAAACTCGGAATTTTTTTGATGGTATCGGTAGCGTCAAGGGTAAGGACTGCTTCGCTCTGTGTAACGTGTTCATATATTTGAGCATTGCTTTGTTGTAATTGTAATTTTATATTTTTTGCACGGAGTAATTGTAATGTAATTGAAAAATTTAAGGGAATAATTGTAATTGAACTGAATTAATGCAATTGATCCAACTCTGCATTCAAAACATATATATATACTATTATAAGTGGGCAACCTAATTCATCAAACTCATAACTCTACCAAAGTTGCATAGAATCAGTGTGTATGACAACATGTAACATCCGATTGTATTCTAGTATTTTGCAAATGAAATCGTAATGCTACAGCTTCTCAGTTGAATCAAAAATACAAAATCTCGTTACGTTTATGTTAGGTTCACTGCTTTTGACATGTTAGGTAGATCGTAATACGTAATATTGGAGAAATTCATAATAGCCTAGATTCTCTTTTTTATTTCTTAGGGCTTGAGATATAGAATTTCGATTGAAGTAAATACTTTACTGAGAAGAAAATTTTCCTTTATCTTTTCAATCGAACTATTCAAATATCTTGGAATTGTTGAACTTTACTTTTTGATACTGAAATGAAACCATTCGGTGGACAAATACGCCTTTATTCGCCTTTTTCAATGTTTACCCTATGCAGCCACTAGCAATAACAATAGCCTAGCAAAAACATATTCGAAAAAGCGACCGGAGAAGAGACATCGAAAGACAGTTTTTCTCCCACGTGTAGTGAGTAGTCGGAGTCCAAATCCGACAAATCAGCATTAAACAAGAGTCAACCTAACTGTCTATAAACATAAATATAAATATATATATATACACACAATATAAACACGGACACTTTAGTCTGCGACACTTGATATGTATTCTACTCGAAACCACTTTTTCCGCAGAACTAGCATTTGTACAATCGCTCGCTTTCACAAACTTAATCGCCAATATATCAAAATAGTTGGTGTTCCGAATTTTTCATTCTGGCCAAATTTGGTTCATCAATTTGGTTCTCGCAAAACTAAATACCGACGTTAACCCGCTGAGGTTGCTGCAGAGACGTATTCCTCCAAACAATCTATTTAGTTTTCATACAATAAAATACTCCTGCAATACGAGCGCGGCAGCTCATAATTGTGATCAGTCGCATCAACGAGTTTGGGGGTGCTGATTTAAAAACTAAAAAAAATCACAATACGATATAACACTTTGATCGCCCATTTATAGGGCTGGGAATTTCAGGGAAAACACTTTGACCGTTAACCGGGTAAAATTAACCGGTTAACCGCCGCGTGACGTTTGACGTAATAATTTATCAGCTTGTTATCATATTTCAGCTTGTTACGTCACAATGCTTATAAAGCGATTTCGCGGGTTCTTACCCCGGTATCGCTTATTAAAATTATTCACGAATCGAGATAGTTCAATGATTGCTCTGCTTCAAGAGATAGGCAGCGTAGTTCGGGCGTGTTGAAGTATTTTAGAAAACCTGATTCCGTTGTTAAACGTCATTTATGTGACAAATTATCAGTGTTCGATGTGCAAATTTTACTTCGAGATATATATCATAAATAAAAACGGCATCAACTGCGCACTTGTTGTATGACATTGAATATCCGATTTTGCAATGAAATCGTGAACAATATATTGCGAAATCGACCGAAAACTGATTCTGAATTCATCATTGTCAAATTTCCATAATCATCAATCTTGGTACTTCCATTATTTTCCACATTTATTGAGTCCCTTACCCACACAGTTAGTAATTCAGTTCTTTTGAATTAAATGCCACAAGAGATAAATTTGCGATGACGTAATCATATTTGAAGAAATCGTACGGTATGAAGATAATTTGTACCTGAGATGTCAGTTAACGGTTAAAATAAATCGTAACCGTTAACCATCTGAAATCGGTTAACCATTCCCAGCCCTACCCATTTAGCTACGGACTGATGTACAAAACAGTGCCGGAACAGCATTTTTGTTCTGTTGTATGATTTGCTATTATAAAAAAAGTTCATGATCCAGCTTGAAGCAAGTAAAACGAATCCATTTCTTACAAAAAATACAACTATCGTAATCTGCGATAGTAGCAAACTTTCATTTTCAAAAGGTTTGATTTTAAATATATATAAGTTGGGATAAAAGAATCAAGCGACAAATGCAATGCTGAGGGATCAATGATCATTGGACTGAGTGTCACACCGCAAATGATGTACGCCAAGTGAAGTGTATCCATAAAGACGTGCAGATGCGGTTCATTAACCATTAGTCACCTACTCAATTGGTAAATAGCCACTGGCAACATCTGACTAAAAACGCGGGCTGGCAGCGAGGATAGGTTGCGATGAAGTTCTCTCTATAATAATTAGGAACCCCCATTTAATCAAGCTCAGTAAAAAGGAAATGCTAGTACCATGTTTCCGCCACATACCGGTATGAACGCAATAAAACTCAACTGTCTAACGTACTACCTAAACCAGGCGTGGTATCGGTCAGTTAAGTTGTATTAGACCTTTGTTAGAAGTAGGCAGTTTTTGATAGTTGGTTTCTTATTTTACTTTAATGTTTGATACAAAACGAGGCCAGACTCGAAATAGAGGTACAGTGGTGGCTAAGTATGCTTACTATGAAATTAAACGAGTGGTATATTTGAAAAAATTTAGAGAAGGAAACCGAGCGAATGGTCACGGATTACATGCTCATTTATGCGTGATAAAGTAGCAACTGATCTAAAGGATGCGCCGGCGATAACAAAACGCGAACCGTCAATCTGCAAATGCCCTATTGACCCAGTTTTAAACGTTGATTCAATGTAAAACGTTACAGTAGTAAAAAGCAGCATGCAAGCATTCGAGATTGTGCAAGTAACAGTTGTGTAATTGACGTGACTTGGACCACGGTGAAAGTCACCTCGGTTGGACCAGAAATCTTTGAAACATATTTAATCTTGTTTTGATAAATATTTTTAAACTACCAGACAATAATTTATCAAGTGTTTCATTTATTCAATTGGCTGGGGTTTCCAGTTTAAGAACTTAAAATGGAGGTAGAAAAACTATTAAAACGGATGAATTATTGCGGACCGATTGACCACACTAGTATTGATATTCTGAATGAGCTTTGTCTGTCATTTGTGTTGTGACGACCCTTGTTTTATCTGTTAAATGACGTCATGTGATATCGTTTCCATATTTGGTATTCTAGCTGTTTAGACGCTGCGACACGGTTGATCGGTTCTCTTGGGCAGCGTGGTCTGTTGGTGTATGCTGTGTGTGACAGAGTGGAGTCGTCTGAGTGTTTCGGTTTGATTGGTGGGTTTTGAATGTCTGTGTGAATGCCTCTGGTCTTCAGGGATGTTTGTCTGTGTTGTGTGACTGTCGGATGTTTTGTGCTGGACAGTGGGCTGACGTAGGGACCATGTTATTGTTTTTACCAGTACAGTGCCATTACAGTTCATTTACCGTAGTGTTGTATTTTCAGTTTTATCGTGGAATTAGCTTTCATCAGTATTGTTCAAATGTTGTGCACCTATAGAAATGTTTATAGTTTTTTTTAAATGCCTGTCATAAGTTACTTTCGGCCTGCTTTGCAAATTGCAGTAGCTAGTTCATTGTACCAGATTCTAGGGGTCAATTGGTTTTTTATTCAGAGCTGTCTTGGATTTCAGGGTTTGTCAGTGTTTTTGTTGTGTATGTGGTCTTTCTTGCATTTTACTGCCTGGTATCTGTTATTTTTATTTTATGCTTTTCGTTCCTTTGGGAGTGTTTGGTTGTTTTGGATCGTTTACTGTTCGAGTTGTTAATAAATGACATAAAATAGCATAAAGACTTGGACTATTGAGAGAAAACTTGACGTCAGATCATATTAGAAGATATTCTGAACCTGGATAATTATTTCATACATTGCCGGTACGCTACAATTTTTGGCGAGAGCACGCCAGGATATTTTCTATGAACTATGATTTTTTTTTCTCCTACTCGGACTAATGGATGATATGTCAAGGCTCTGGTCAATAACGTGCCTGTTTTGTTTTTGATTGATACCAGTGCGGGTGTCTGGCTTATTGACACCGCTGTTTACTCGACGTTGCAGGAGAATTCGAACATTTCGGGGCTGCATCCTGTTCCAGTGCCACTCCGTACTGCCGGTTGCGAGTCATTTGTGTCTCATGGTGTACTTGATGTCAACCTGACGATTGAAAGCTGGTCTGTGGAGCATACAGTTGTGGTCGCCGATCCAGGGTCACGTGCGGGTGTCTCGCTCATAGACACCGCTGTTTACTTGACGTTGCGGGAAATTCGGTTCGGGTGTCTCGCTCATAGACACCGCTGTTTACTCGACGTTGCAGGAAATTCGGACATTTCAGAACTGTATTCTTTTCCAGTACCATTGCGTACTGCCAGTGGCGAGTCGTTAGTGTCTCATGGTGCACTTGATGTCAACCTGACGATTTAAAGCTGGCCTGTGGAGCATACCGTTGCCGTCGCCGATCTAGGGTCACGGATGGACTATCTTGGCAAATTCGTCGCATCGTTTTGTTCTTGAGGGACAGGATGTTAAGGTACAGCACCAAACAGCTTCTCCCTGCTGTCATGGGACTATAGTTGAAGATGTGGTTATACCGGCCGCTCGGGACTGGTTGTTCTAGTTCAGCTACAACAGCCTTGGCCGTCCGGAGATCTAACATAGTAGCCGTTGTTGAGCCAGTGGAGATATGCAGCATCAATTTGGTCGCTTCGATGACGTTTGTGGACTCAATCCAGAATGACAAACTTTACGGATGTGTAAGCGTGAGCATGGACACTCTGTGTATTTTAAGGACATTCGTGGACATATTTTGTTTTGACTACTGCTTTTTTGTGGTTCGGATTTTTTTCTAGAGATGAAAACATCCTTTCATAATGTTTCATCTAGAAGAGGGGGGTAATGTGACGACCCTTGTTTTATCTGTTAAATGACGTCATGTGATATCGTTTCCATATTTGGTATTCTAGCTGTTTAGACGCTGCGACACGGTTGATCGGTTCTCTTGGGCAGCGTGGTCTGTTGGTGTATGCTGTGTGTGACAGAGTGGAGTCGTCTGAGTGTTTCGGTTTGATTGGTGGGTTTTGAATGTCTGTGTGAATGCCTCTGGTCTTCAGGGATGTTTGTCTGTGTTGTGTGACTGTCGGATGTTTTGTGCTGGACAGTGGGCTGACGTAGGGACCATGTTATTGTTTTTACCAGTACAGTGCCATTACAGTTCATTTACCGTAGTGTTGTATTTTCAGTTTTATCGTGGAATTAGCTTTCATCAGTATTGTTCAAATGTTGTGCACCTATAGAAATGTTTATAGTTTTTTTTAAATGCCTGTCATAAGTTACTTTCGGCCTGCTTTGCAAATTGCAGTAGCTAGTTCATTGTACCAGATTCTAGGGGTCAATTGGTTTTTTATTCAGAGCTGTCTTGGATTTCAGGGTTTGTCAGTGTTTTTGTTGTGTATGTGGTCTTTCTTGCATTTTACTGCCTGGTATCTGTTATTTTTATTTTATGCTTTTCGTTCCTTTGGGAGTGTTTGGTTGTTTTGGATCGTTTACTGTTCGAGTTGTTAATAAATGACATAAAATAGCATAAAGACTTGGACTATTGAGAGAAAACTTGACGTCAGATCATATTAGAAGATATTCTGAACCTGGATAATTATTTCATACATTGCCGGTACGCTACAGTGTCAACAATACCGTATGAAACCTTGGATAATTTTGCGGAGAAGAAACGAGCAACACGACCCTATGATTTGAAAGTAACTTTCAACAGAATTGTTAATGAACACAGGGGAGGTAATTGTCTTGAACTGAATATGACATTGGAGTGGATGCTGGAGAAGCTTGGTTATAATGTCAGTAGATATATGGGCTATGGTTACGATGTTGAAAACGATTGCTTTGGACATGACCGTCATCATGTCATTTTATTAGTAACATTTGAAGATGGAATGACCTGGTTGACAGATGTAGGTTGGAACGGTGCTTCCTTTGTGTTGCCGTTGCTGATGCATGTACCTACTTTAGAGCAATCTCAACCTAGTGGCATTTACAAAGTTGCCAAGTACGACGATGGCTATTATGTAGTCGAAAAAAGATGGCACAATCAAGTGGACGAGGAAAAACAGATTATCAAACACAATCAAAAAGATAATGAAGCTTTGAGTCGATACCAAACCAGCAAGGATTGGATGGTAATATACGGGTTTAAATTGGAAACAAAGCCAATGGAAGAATTCGAAAAGGCCTTTGTTTTGTCACAAGAAAAGCACCCATTCACGACTTCCAACTGCCTTGCTATACTACAGGACAGATATCATAGGAGATTTATGAATGGGTATACATTTGTCAAAAAGATATACGTTAATAGCATGATGATTCAAGTGGAGAAACGAAAATGTGAAAATAGTGAATTAATTGAAATTCTAAGGTCAGAATTCGGCATAAATCTGGGTTACAAACTCCAACCTAAAACCGATTTGCCACTCAATGTCGCATAATAAATAAAAATAAACTCTTTAAATCACAGTTCGCGTTCATGCATTTGCTATCAACGTTTGCGTATGTTTTTTGAACGAGCTACTGCAAAGGTATCACCTCATTTTATTTGGTTAATTGTTCAAATATGTTATATATATCGTAAACTTATCTGGATTCTGAGAGCAGTTTGAAATACAATATTAAAGAAAAAAAGCGTTAATAAATATGCTAAATCTTTCCAAGTCCAGACGATGATAGATTAAGATCATCTAATCTAACAGAATTACTGTTTTTGCAAATGGGATTGATGAATCAACTTTTTTTTTATCATTGGTAGTGATGATACAATTTTTAGGTAAAACAAATAGGATTTTATTAGAAGAGTGCACATATAGATGCGTATTAGAAGGTATTTCCACGAGGCAAAGCAGCGGATACATTCAACGGAGAAAGCATATTAATGTTTTTGTTGCCGTCGTCTATAACGCCAATTTTCATTAATATATATTTTGATTTCACAAAACAAAACCATTGATTTCGTCTCAATTAGCTGCATAAATAGCTTCGGGTGGAGTCAGCAATATCCCGAAAAATATTTTTGTAATAAATATAAATAAATCATTCAGTATTTGTTATTTAGTGTTTGTATCTACTTGTCTATAGACAAAACCATGGCTGCAGGCTATATGCTTACAAGACGCCATTATTTAGGTAGGTCATTAAATATTCAACGATAATGTTAATATCGAATTCTGCAGACAAATTATTAAGTTCTAAACAGGTAACATAAACATTGAGTCAAGCATGTTCAGTGAAATGACTCCTTCGCAAAAAGTGTCTTAACTTGAAAATGAAAGATCCACTCAGCCACAATGGTAATTGACAAGCGTTAGCAACAGATGAGTCTAGTTCTGGCGTTTTTTTTACATTCTGCCTACCGGCTATATCCTACCTATATTGATTAATCTCAGAATGATGAGTGTTGGGAATCACATGATACGTCGTAATCCATGTTATTAAATTCCACAGCGCCGGAATAGCAGATACCAGGCATTGCGTGTGGTGCATCGTGATAAACCTTAGGAATACGCTCAAGTACGAATCCAGCGGGGATAATTATGTGCGAGAGAATTGCCGGACTCTTCGTGGTTCACGTAACCCGCTAGTCGGTTACGGCTTCCTCCAGCATCAAGTTCATGAATCTAAAAGAAAAACCTGGCTAACAAATCCCATACCCGAAATGGACTGGTAACCGGACCAGAGGCTTAAGCCGTGTTATCGACATTCCTATCCTCCGTGATAAATATGTAAACGAAGAGGTACCTTTTTTTATGACTTCACTCTCCACATGGGTCTATAGCTTTCCAAATATAATAATTTTTTTAAACATACCTATCATATCAAATTATGGCTTTCGTAAATTTTCGTTGATAAATGAATCATTTTGATCTGTATTTATATACATCAACGGTATCTCTGACATTTTTAGGTAAAATAGAATGCAGAATGAATTTAAAGGCGTTGCGCTACTTGACTACGTCTGGATTTCCATTCGGGGGAGGGGGGAATTCTTCCACAAAAAGGAATTTTGCTGTTTTCGGAAGAAATTACAAAAGTATTACCTATAAGAGTCTTATAGGAGCAAGACTCTTGTGAATCACTTAGGATAGTTATTTTTACCTTTATTACTACAGCATCCTTGTATTATGTGCATACGAATCTGCCGGCACAAAAGCATAGAGGAGGGATAATCAGTCTCGCAGATACAAAATCATTAATACTTATAAGTTGAGTTGTTCCTTATCTTTCTTTAAATTGAACAGAGAAAGGTTGGGAAATAACTTAATCTAATATAAACAGAATCGAAGGAAACTTATCAGAAAATCAGTAGGGTAGCAACAGTCGTTGGGTAGCAATATCTTTTTCAATCCTTTTCCTGAAAATATCTGGAAAAGGTCCATACCATACACACTAATAATCTCAACATAAATGTACGAGTTCTCTATACTGCGCAGGCAGATGGTGTTTTTACTGTAGTTTCCTTCACTAAAATTAATATATTTAAAACTAACACAACTTTATCATAAGCAAATTTAACAAAAAATATTACGATACCGAAAATCAAATGCATCGAAATCCGTTTTTTTATCATAACGGAACCACAGTCAGCGTAACCTTTAACCCATGAGTTTCGTGGTTCATTCTTTTCGTTGCGATTTCCTGGCGTGGTTTATTCAGTATTTAGTGAGTTCGTATTTTCCTTTTTTATCGTATTTTTCTATTATTGGTTTTATTTTATATTTTCATAATTTATCATCATTAACACTATTTTAGGTGCCAGAACCACCTTGAGCTCGCAAGATGGTGGCGTCAAAGAAACAGGTACGTTTTTTATGGTTCTTCAATCCTACGAGTTTAAATGTTTGACTGTACAGCTTAGTTTATTTTGAGTTTGTTGAAGATGTTGTTGCATAGGCCTAATATGGACGGTCTTCATTAATCACTAGTGACGCGAATCCATATCTTAAGTTCTTTTATACAGAAAAAGGCGTTGGAAAATATAAATTCAAGACTGCAACTTGTTATGAAGAGTGGAAAGTACAATCTTGGGTATAGACAGACTCTTAAAAATTTAAGACAAGGGAAAGCAAAACTTGTAATTCTTGCTTCGAACTGTCCTGCCTTAAGGTATGATATTAAGATCTTCTTTTGTAGTTGTGTATACTTCACCGGCTCCTAGACCTGTCAGTAGGGCACAGTTCTCAGATTCCAAATATTCTCAGGAATAGCGAATGTATTCCTAAAATAAACTAGTTTACGACAAATGAGAAAAAATCGTATTAAGAATAATTTATTACTGATTTGCCAGCTACATCCATTTGACTGGGCCATGATTCCTTTTGGTTCGTTCAGGACTAACAAATTGTTAATTTTCTAAAATCTCATCGCCCAAGGACATGCTTAAATACTAACGGCATGTAGTACTTTATGACCAAAATTGAATGAATAATATAAAAACTTAAATATTTTGTATAACGTGTATTTCCCAGTAATTACTTTAAGTGCGAGTGTTTGCCATGAGTGAATTTTTAGAATCGTTTTGGGTTTTACTGCAAAATAAATATTGCCAAGTTCTCACGCAATGATACTTCCCACACATGTAATTACTATTATTAAGCAACACTTCAATACCAAATCAAATTTGAAATAAACAAACCTTACTATAAAATAGAATTTGAAACTTTTAGGTTTTTGTTGAAAAATCAAGCTACTCAAGTAAATATTCAGGCGACCCATAGGTTGGGAAACACTGATTCAATCGATATATATTATGAAACCTCACAGAATAAGGCCAGTCTGGTTGCTTTTGTACCATGCTGGTAAAAAGTTAGAGGGAAATAAACAACTGATGATTCATAAATGTATATTATTTATTTAAATAATACAGTTGGATCGCAGTGATACAAGCTTTTGATTGACTTCACTCCTGTTGAAAGATTTGATTTGTAAATTGATCATTAGATCAGTGGTCTCAAAACCTTTTTTTCGGTTGTTGCAAAAAATTTCTGCGGCCCATTAACTTTTCCATGCCAGGATAAATTCATCCATAAATCATGCAATTTTCAGTAGGTTTGTGGCCCACCAGTTAGTCATGGCCCTCTGGTTGAAAACCAGTGCATTAGATGAATAATAACTTCTTGTAAAGCTATTTCGATTCATGCTTGTTTCTGGAGAATCATACTAAGAAATATAGTTGAAAAGACACGTTGCACCAGATGTTTATACAACACTAATATTATATACCGGTATATATTCGTGCTTTCGTGGTACAGACATTGTAAGAAAGGCACAGTTCTTGTGTCGAAAAAAAAAACTTTTTTCGGGCTTATAAACTTATTACATGCTTACTTAGATGTCTAATCGTCTCTATAAAGTCAGGGCTACTTCGTAACTGCGATTCATGTCAGTTATTCAGCATGACTTTTCATTCGTTTTTATTTGCAGGAAATCTGAAATTGAATATTATGCTATGCTGGCCAAAACTGGAGTCCACCATTATTCAGGCAATAATATTGAGTTAGGAACAGCTTGTGGAAAATACTTCCGTGTCTGCACATTGACCATCACAGATCCAGGTATTATGGAAAACAGTGTAAAACATTGGTTGACAATTAGTTCTTCATTTAATAATGTAGAACTAGCAATTGTGCCTATATCACTCGAATATCTGTCTGCGTGGAATTTTTCTCACTTTGTATCTACTTCCAATATTTGAGATTTATTTTATGCTCTTCTGCTACATGTGGGTCATTCTTGCTCATTGTTTGATTCATGTATATGATAGAGCAATATCAATTGCAAGGCAAGACTTCTTTTCACGTTATTAATAAATATGTGATCAGTTTTAATACTTGCATACAAATATTATTTTTCAATCTTTAAATGCAATAAGGAAGCTAAACCCATTTGATTAGGCATGTTTGGATATTCAATTCTCAAGTTCCATATTTTTTGCAGGTGACAGTGATATCATCAGAAGTATGCCGTCTGCAACTGCGGATCATTGATGTGATAAGAACTAATAAATATTATATGGTCCTTAAATTTGTCTATTTCTCAGTATTTGGGCCAGGCATGAACAGAGCTTGTGACTTGATTGATGTATTCTGTTTGTGGATATATCATTTCAAACATTCTATCACATCGTAATTAGCAGTTGAGCATATTAGGTCCTTCCTTTGGGGTGCAAGTTGATCAGAATACGGGTATCAAGAATGCCTTGTGCTGCCACTACAGTTTAATGTGACCGGGAAAAAAGAACTGAAATCCAGTTAATCTTCAGTCGTTGAAATATCATTATTACAAATCACATCTCTATATGTTCCTTTTTGTACATTGATCGATGCCATCGTTTTGTATGAAATGTACTGAGACTTAGTTGGCCAGTACTAATGTGTGTTGTGCTGAGCATCTTTTCGGCAAGATTGACAATAGATAGCTCGCCCGAAAAAATAATCAAAGAGTGTCTAGTCTCCAACTCTTCCGTTGTCGGAGTTCACCGACTTGCAACTCGCTGAGATTTAGTTTATATAAGCTGCTCCTCAAAAATTTTAGTTTCTTCCAGACCGCACGGCGACTAACCTCCCTCCTCGGCAAACTGATTAATTCCGCGCCCCCAGTTGGGGAAAGTGATGGTGGCTAAGATATATCATGCGATAGTTTTTGCACTCTTTCGTACATGCCCCTATGTGCAGAATTTGGTGAACAGGCAGCAATCCGAGATGACAAATGCGTTTTCAGTGCCCAAAAGTTAGCTCCAACACAGGGACTGGTGCAATTTAAACAAATCTACATAACTTTGAAAAAAAAACGCCGAAAAGTTCCAGTGTTAAAGTTCTGGGGGACTTACCCAGCGTTGTTAAAACGGACCAGGAAGCAACAAATCTCACGACAATTTCTATCCTCAGCCCTCGCACAACCCATTCAGTCTGCCAGCAATCAAATGCTATATTGGGAATTCCAATGATTAGGCTATTCGAAATTCCAACCATAATTTAAATGCCATAGACTCATATCAGCAGAACCAACACAGAACATGGCATTAAGCGGCATAATATATCTATTTGTTGAAAACACAACCTTCACTTTGATGCGCAGTAGAAGACTAAGGTTCACCAGAACTCCTCCACAGTTGAGCTTTATTAAGGAGTGGAGAAACATCAAAAGTTCAACTGCATTTGTCACCTAATCATTAACTATCAATATATAACACAAATATAATGAACGAAAGTAGATTTTAAATAAATCCATGGTTGAGTAGAGCAAATGGTCCTAAAAGATCAGAACGAAATAACTAATTGCATGAAAAATGAGTTTTCAGTTTCACACATTGAAAAGCTTCAAGTTCAGCTTCCATTAAAAAAAACCCAATATTAGGTATGGTAAAATACAAGTTTCCATTTTCATTAAGTTCCACCATTTATATGCTCTTAAGACAATTTAAAAAATAATGCTTCCATAGGCACCAAGGCACATTAATCTCAAAATTGAGGTTCCAGATTTGTTAAGGGTTTATTAAATATATTTCTGGTGCTAGGACGATATTTGGTCTGGTCAAATTTTTGTTCTCGTTAGACATGACCTACAGAAAAATATACGACTGCATCACAATTCATCATCCCATTTGAAATCACTAAGATCAACTTCTTCTTCTTGAGGTAACTGTAGAAAAAATCAACACATAGTATGAACGAGAGAAGAAAATGCATCACTGAAATTACAGAGAATAAATACATATTTCTGATTTGTAACTCTGTTCAGTTTTGTTGGAAAATAATATATACCGGTAAAATGACTAGGATTTTTATTTAAAATCGCCGATCATTTAAGGCCGTAAACATCTTTATTTCGGAGTTCATTTATCTTTTATCTTTAAATTTTCGGGTTGGGACCCATTTATTTCCAACATATCCTTCACAAATGAAAAACACTCTTGGCAAATAGTAAGATTAGGATTTACATATAAGATGATATAATCGTATGGCGAATCACTGCCTCTCGTTCAGTTATACTGCACCAGTACATGTCGGGTATGGGATTAGTTAGTCAGTTATGTTTCAGATGCATGGCCTTGCCACGATGCAGAAGCCGTAACCGACCAGGTGAGGAGTCCAGCAATGCTCTCGAACATAATTACCCCACACAGCATTCGAACCGGCGAACCAAAGCAGGGTAATCAAAGGTGCAGTGGCAAGCGTATTCCTAACGTTTAGCATGATGCGGCACACCCTGCAATCCTTGATCAAACATCCAAAATTACCTAGGGCTTATGCATCCCCCCCTGTAGCTTGTCAAGCCAACATAAATGAACCAACTCGCTTTAGAATCAGTGATCAGCTTTGATATATACCTGTCCATCTTTTCCGTCCCAAGGTGAACAATCCACAACATTTGGAAGTTGAGAATCAGGTAGAGCGTGAGAATTTCTACCTGCCCTACCGTATGAAATTCCATTCAAGAAAGATTCAATGCCATCATGGTTAAAAGGTCCAGTAAGAACAGTGTAGAATTTTTTCTTGTCTACAATGACCGCCATTGCCTGTGAGAAATAAATGAAATATAACCTACACCTAATTATTATTTCACAAAAATAATTTTCTATTCAGATAAGGTGACTAGTTAAATGTTCTGGCTGATAAGACAATTCAGTATTTTTATGCCACAACAAAGCATGAATAATTGATAGTATCAGATTTGTTATTTTTTGCTGTTTTTTCAGTGTTTGGAGTCATTAAGTTGCATTAACAATGGCGCAAATGAATTTCCCTCTCTAAGCCCAGATTGGATGGCAGAAACACAGTGCTGTGCTTTGAATGATAAATGAAAATCCTATCATACATACAGGGAAACCAGATCCACCGATGTTCAAAGCTTTTTCCAAATCTTTTTGTTTTCCAGCTTCAGTCCACACCCATCCCCATTGCTTCTTCTTGAATTTTTCTCCCATAGTAGTCAACAATTCCAATGCTTCGTTTCTACCTTTAGCACCTAATGGAGAACATTTAACTTTTGTTTATAGTATTCCATGTCAAGAAGAATTAAATATCACATTTGCAACTGCAAGAATCCATCAAAGTCGGAATAAATTAGTTTCCCTTATTGTTTCTTAAAGCTAGCTATCGGGCAGAAAGTTAGTTGCACGGAAATAGTTTAATATCATTCACAAGTCATTTGACATAAAACAGAATACAAAAATTGGTTAAGATTAAGAAATATATTATTTTCATTATCATGAATAAAATACTTGTGCATAAAACACAACTGAATTCTACTTACCAGTATCAAGAATGTCTGCAAGAAAAGAGATAACACAAAGTTGTTTTCCAATGCAGTTATCTTCTTGCACCTTTGCGGAGATAAGTTCATCAATCTGAAATAAAATATAAATAAAGTCATTTAATACCGTCCTTTGAACATAGAAAACATTCAATTTACTACTATAACATGGCTAATTCAAGCATGATGGAGCATGAATTGGTATTCCATATAAAAACTATTCTCCCTAAACGAGAAAAAAACTTACAGTTGGTGGCTCAACATTTTCTTCATAGAGTTCCATAGCTGCACTGAATATAGAAGAACTATCCCTTCCGCCTTGAAAATCTTCAGGACTCTCTTTAGCCCCCTTACGAAACACTTTTATAGTTGGGTAGCCACGAACCTGAACATCAGAATTAAATAAACTCAAACTAAAAATGAGTAGTTTTACAAGATAGGATAGAATATAGCCATGGAGACATGTGTTTTGGACAATTGAAAAAAGGCCCCAAACACATTTTGAAAACATGATTTTTTTATATAATAATATTGTAAATTATTTTCTATTTATTCCGCACATTGAGTAATTTTCAAATACATGATTTTAAGAAAAAAAGACTTGTAAAAAATTCATGTAAATTTGACGCCCTTTCATACGGAAGTAAACAAAAATATTGTTTATCAATATATTGGTACACACCCCATATTTATTCCCAAGTGATTGACTAACAGTAGCATCAACTGCACCCATTCGAACTGCATCTCCAACTTCATTTTTCAGTTTGTTAGCAGCAGCTTTCCACTCTGGTTCTAATCTACAGAATAATCAAGCAGTTCGAATATGGGCCATTCCAAGCAAAAGTTGGATTCCATCAATTTTTTAAAAAGTGTAGTGAAAGTAATTTATTTTTATTTTTGATATCAAAAGACATTGGAATTTTATTGGACTGCATTCATTTTATCGAACAATTTAAAATTTCACCCAGGTTTTTGATGGTTTTTAAAAAATTGCCTCGAATGTAGAAATCTTGGTATAATTGACATATTTTGTGATGATTCCTGACACAAAGTGTTTGATTGTGTGGTACAGTTATTTCATATGGAATAGACGCACTGGATTTAAGTTAATAAAGTTTAAATGTTTGCAGGACTTTAGAACATTTCTTCACCCAATTAACGATGTATTACCAATATTTTAAGAGATGATAGATGTCGCTATTCCGAAGTGGAAAAATGTCCTGTAATGTCACGTCCTGTAGTGTCACATACAATATGCACATTATTGGCATGGATTTACAGTGTTACATTAAGTAACTTGAGCAACACATAGAGGGGTAGTTCACCTACTGCACCAGAAAACATTATGGGCTCCTACTGTACCATCGCAAAAATCTACAGCACAACACAACGTACTGTTAGTGCATGGTGGATTTGCCGTCCTGTAGTGTCACGCTATATTTTACCATATTTTTTTTATCTACTAAGTAAGGTTGGGTGTAACATTTGTGCAATTTTTTACATATTCAATAAAGCAACTGATTGGAAAATGAAACAAAACATGTAGCTGAAAATGTGAAAATATATTGAATCTAACAACATGCAAAATTTCTGGAATTGTCCCTTAGTGTCACTTGGAATAGCCCATATATGAGCATTTTCATAAATTTATCAATAGGATGTTAAAATTTGTTCATAGAATGCATATGTTAACTAAAGGCGCGGCCCCGCAGTTTCTACCAGTTATTTGTATCTGGCCATCTTGTATTAAAGTTGGGAAACCCCTGCTTCACTGTTCAGACGAGTCTCTTCTAGGAGAAGACAATAAAATAATAGAGTTTATTTTTACCGTTTGCAGTGACCACACCATGGTGCATAAAATTCAACAAGCCAAGGTTCATCACTGTCCAAAACAAGTTCTTTGAAATTATTATCATTAAGCGTGACAACTGCATTTCCACCACTTTCTTGTCTACCTTTGCCCTGTAAGAAGCATCATGAATGATTATGAAAGGCATTCATTTAAAACCAAGCTTGGTATTTTATAATAAAAATGGCACTCACTTGTTCCTGATCATCACCTGCACCACCACTTTCTCTATCTTGGACCATTTTTCTCAAAGCTTGAAAAGCAAAGTCACTAATTTCTTTTTCACTTCTGGCACCTGCAACAAAATTTCAATGTTATGATTCAGTATTGAATATTAAATTTATGAAATTTTCTGATAGTGTGAATTTTGTATCCTGAAAACCATATTGGAGCATATGATTTATGAATAACCTATTATTATGATTTATGAATATGTAATATAAACATTATAGATAATCACGTCTATTTAAATTGTTGAACTATTTAAACTATTCCTTTAGTGTCCGAGTTGAATTTTAAATTGTAAACCACTTTTTATTCAGAATTTTAAATTTCAGTCAGACAGGATTTTTTACACCCCGATCTTAACCAAAAAAGATGTCTTATTAAAGATATGAAATTATAACTGTACCTTGATAGTCTGTTGGTTTATTTTTATTATATCCAAAAACTTTAATAGTTGGGAAGCCTTGGATACCATATGGTCTTCCAACAGATTCATGTGCCGTCATATCTACTGCTCCTACCTTTGCAACACCCTACAAAAATATTGACTATGATGGTACTACTAGCAACTAGATACTATATATATCATTAATCTAATTAAACATGCATGTATGAATCTTTCAGATACAGTGATACCTCAGTAGTTGAACCACTCGGCACTAACAATTTGGTAGTCAATCAAAAAATTTGTGTTGAAAATGCTGCGGTACTCAAACATAAACTCGGGAGCACTAACACCTGAGCCGAGTGCGCGGCCTATTGAAAATATGTTAGCAGAATCACTCATCTTGGCTTCTTTTCGACCATTCAACAAGCATCAGTTCAAGTCAGAATGATGACAGGATTGAACATGTAGAGAAATTTTTGAGATTTAGTGTTTTTTTCCTTGTGTTTATTATTAATAGGCGTTGATTATGGCTCAAAAAAATACCGATAAAACCTCTAAACATCCATTCCTGCCATGTACCGGTGCTCAAGGGTACCAATAATGATGCAAATCTCTTTATATTTTCAACTTTTTTATGTTTAATCTTCAATATGTACACATTCAAATAAATATTGTTGTTTAGGTACAAGTTTTATTAATATTTATGAATGCGTAAGAACATATTAAAATAATAAACATTGTTTCTTACGGCAAAAAAATCGATATTCGAACACCAATCCTGAACGAAATATGTTCGACTACAGTGGTATCACTGTATATGCCATCTGCAAATCAGGATGCCTGATGTTTTTATAGCAAGACAAAATTGTTCCTATGTGTCAAATAAATTCAGACTAAAGAACAGATATTAGTGAACGCCAGCATTGATCTGAACTTGAATCTCAGCTGTCCAATGACCCAATTTGTAACATATTCGATATGCCATATTAAAAAATATTATTTAGTTTTGGCCATCTATGTTATGAATATCTTTCAATCTTCATGCAAGCAATCTTCCCACACCATGTCAGCTAAAAACTATGAACTATATGCCACACACTTATAATAAATTTTTTTCTCCATGATATCGCCACATATTATGCATCAATGATAAGTATGATTCGTGCAAACTATTCAAACAAACAATTAATTACTATTATCTGGGTTGAACTTTCCCAAGTGAGAACAAATTCTAAAAATGAAAAACGCGGGAAAATTTATCAAAGAGTTTCTATTTTTTGAATAATTACCAACCTGGAAAAAAAAATACCTAAACCTTCAGACCATCACCAATTTACACTAGATAGGTTTGTAGCATGACCATTCCCTACCACCACATAAATGCCAAATGTTTGTTATATATATACCATTATAAATTGAACCCTTGCTTCTGTTATGTCCGAAAGCCATGATTACAGGCACATCAGATGTGGTGACATTATATTTTCTTGCTAACTTTTTTCGCTTATATACGTTTATCGCACCCAATCTTACGGCACCCTTTAATTTGTAAAAGTTTTAAATGTATCATTTTGTCAGTGCAGATATAATTTTAATACTGTATATATTGTAGAATTGTCGCTATACGTGTTCACGGATTCAGACATTGGGGCCATTTTATGCCATCATTTACTTTTTTTTAAAATACATAAGAGTAACATAATTGGTAATCATTTTACCTGAAAACTTCTCGTATCTCATTCAGGAATATATTTAGTTAGCATTGTACCAACACAAATGGCAACTCCAACACTCAAAAAACATACCTTCAATGTTTTAGCTGCCTTTTTCCAAGCAGGTACCAACTGTTGACAATGTCCGCACCATGGGGCATAAAATTCAACAAGCCAAAGCTCATCGCTGTCCAAAACTTTTGATTTAAAATTTGCTGATGTCAATTCGACAACATCATCACCGCTACTGTACAGTGCACTTGTATACGAAACCAATGCCAGTAAGAAACCTGAAACAAAAATAATACAGAATAAAGTCCGGAACTGTATAAAGACATTTAATATTAACTTCTGATAGTCACAAGCACTGCAAGCAAAAAAGTCTGTAATTGCGGTTTCAATTACATTTTTGCCACCTCTACCATCAGGCAAGCTCGGAATTGATTTGAATGACATAAAAATCTAATCCGGGAATCAAATTGCAGAACAAATTGACTAAAAATATGGGGTCTCCTGAAGCAAACGCAGTAACTGCTTAAATACCCCCAACACAAATATGGTGTGAAACAGAATGCTGTAAATGCTTAAATAACGCCAAACAAAAATGTGGTGAGAGAATACAACCCAAAATTTCATTTCTTTCTAAAAAATAAAAGTCTGTCTTGCGCGAACACAATACACTAAACGCATGGGACAAACGGAAGGCGGACAACTCGACTCACAAGAGGAAAGAAAGATGAGTTGTCCACCTTTTCGACGGGGACGTTTTAAGACAATACGGGTGTAATTTCGATCTTTTTACATTAAAATTTTTGTTGGGTGTTATTTCAGTATTTGAGCAGCTACAGCGTTCATTTTACATCACATTTTCGTTAGGCGTTACACCCAAAATATGTACCCTAAATACTTACCTAATGCTTTCATCATTGCTATATATTCAGGCCGTCAACACATATATGAAGAGATTATTTAAATGCAGGATTCGTTAAAACAGTAAAAAATTTGAATAGACAGATTGAAATCAGAAATTTGATCCAAGTTTAGTCAATCACTGAATTATGTTTTGCTGAAATCTTCTAAGAAAATTACAAAAAAAAAGATTCAGAGGTTGCATTACTTTATCATACATAAGTCAGTATGGCAAGTAATCTACATGTAACATGCTGACATAAAATTTAACTCAAGTCAATTCTTTCATTGTGTGAACCACTCTGCCATAGCAGGTACCGGTTACGGTACCGGTACCAGACTTCTATACCGTACTCAGTACCTACTATTAACAATTTCAGTCAACATAAATGACTAATGCACACATACCGGTAATACGAAAGGGGAATTTGGAACCACGGTACCGGTATACCGTAGTCTACCTAATCACCGACTGCTGGATTGCGACTATCCCCACAACCGCATACAGAGGCCTACCGTACCCTTTTTATCGGTACGGTACCGTAACAGATCAATCTCGGTACCGTACGCTACTGGTAGACGATACTGGTAGACTAAAACATCAAAACAAAGTTGCATGAAACCTTCATTTGAAAACCACGGAAACGAATCAACGTTTTCATCTGGTGTGACGCCTGGTTGCACAACTCTGACATCATAATAAAATCTTACAATTTGGCGCAATTTAATTGGCTGTTGCAAAAGACCCCGCCCCAGGCAAGGCAATACGAGCACACGTGTCCTAAACGCTGGGACTACAAAATCTTCTCAGAAAACTTAGCTCGCGGCATTGTTCGATGTTATTTATTAGTCTTCCTGTCAAACAATGAACGACTATTTAAATCATTTAGAAGCTAGTAAAGTTGCGACAGTAATATTTAATTCGCAAAACTGGGGAACAATGTAATGTTATAAACTTCTTCAAATAGTGATACTTCTTCAAAGGTTACAGCAATGACATTAAACAATGTCATTGTTTAATGTCATTGGTTACAGCATACCTTCTTATCTAACCGTGGGATGGGTATTTTCCCAATCATCAAATTTCCTGTGATATGGCGATTGAAACTTGCTATCATATCAGACACCAATCCTACCATGTTTAGCATAAAAGTCTCTGTTGATCGCTATACATGCCATTTGAAATTGATAGCCACTGTGTGCATTCGCAAATTTGGAAAGGTTGGTCCCGTCAAATTGAATATATATAGCGGAACGAATATATATTAGATCCGTTGTCAAATATTTTTAATAAAAATCAGGTTACCTCGCCGTGCGCGTAGATATTTATATAGTGAGTGTATAGCTTACTTCACTGTTCAAGAAAGCGGTGTCTGATTTCCTTAATTTGTCTGTGGTTGGTCCCAGAAATCCTCCCGTAACAAATTTAAAGTGAGTTTGCTGTTAAAAATCTTCAATACAAATCAGTTCACTTTATTGTGCACATAGATATTTATCTCATATATGCTTATTTCAACCGCAACTAATGGGTCAATCAATTTTTAAGTTTCAGTAATTTGAGATGCAAGTAGTCGCTGAACGCTACTTTCTTTATCAAATTCTTTACAAGCCTCAGGAGACCAATTATATATATCACCAAGTTTTGCTGTCTTATTTTAATTTGTTTTAATTTACACTTCGATGAAAAATGGAAACACTTTATCCCGCCATTCGAGTCCACCTCCGTACGCTCTTCCGCTGATCTTTGCAGCAACCACAGCTATGGCTTTACCATAGTGCTGGTGCGCAAACATCGCGTCCGTCAACCATTGCTATTTTATCATTCTTGTTATTAGTTGACCAGAAGAAACTCCTGTATAGCACCAATTCAGTATCATAATAAAAGTACCATTAACAGTACCATTTTTTAAGGTGAATTCAACACTGAAAGGGAGAACTGTATATTATTGGATTGAATGAGCTACCAAGAAACTGTCCACATTTTCAGTCACCATTAGGGTTGTCAACCGTCCTTTATTTCAAAGGACAATCCTTTATTTGAGATTTTTGTCCTTGTCCTTTTTAAGATGATAATTGTCCTTTATTTTTTCCAACATCGTTTTGCCCGATAGTTTTAGTAGGCTATTGTGTTTGATATTGTTCCGTTCCTAAATCGCCTCCATTTATGTATTCGAAGCTTTTATTCATTCTTTTTAATTTTGCTTTGGTCCGGCTCAAATAGCCAAAAAAATATTTATTTCAGCTTGGGACATGGCACAGTTACTTATAATATTGATTTCTTCGAGAATGCAGATGAAGGTGCGGATGGAATGTTCACTAGTTTGAAAAACACTTTGAACAATTTATAACTTGATTGGAAAAGAGTTTCTTGTTTAAGTGCAGATAACGCAAATTGCAACTTTGGAGAAAAACATTCTCTTTATACTAATGTTTGCACACTAAATGATGGTATTATTAGGGCTAACTGCAGTACACGCATTGTACACAATACAATAAAATTTGCTTTAGGAAATTTGAATGTTGACATTGAAAATATTGTCTTGAAAATTTACAGTCATGTCTCAATGTCAGCAAAAAGACGAGAAAATCTCTTATAGAATTTCATATATTTGTAGAGACGGAATTTCATAAACTTCTGCGCCATGTACCTACTAGGTGGCTATCTTTGCACCCATGCATCGAAAGAACCTTACTTTCTTGGAAAGCTTTAAGTTCTTATTTCTTGAGCAGACCAGCTGAATGTTCCAAACAATTACTTGAACTTCTTGTGATTGACAATGAGTCAACAGAAGTTTCTCAGCTTATTGGAATTTATAATATTCTCACAACATGTAATGGAGATATTCAAATTACCTGTTCAAGAACTGGAAAAAATAAAAATTCAACAGCATATGTTTTTATTATTCTTACTAAATTAAGAAATAGGTTAAAATCTCAATCTGATGAAGAATTTTTTGGGCATGATGTTCACCAACTTCTTGCAAATGTGAGTGCTGCTGAAGCTCAAGAGGCAACTAAAGATTTCAGATTACTTCTCAACTCTGCAATAACGTATTTAGAAAAAAGATTTGATGAAAATTCAACATTTGGAAAATTATCTCTTTTGGATAATCTTTCCTCAAAAGATTAGACACTTGTAAAGTATTTGAAGCTAAAAGACAAACCTCATTTGAATATGGATGACCTATTTGATGACGTTGCACTCATTCAAAATTTTTTTGGCAGGTTTCACAGCAATAAACAGTTCACAGAATGCAAAACAACAAGCAGTAAATCACAATCTTGCGTGTGTTAATATTTTTAAAATAGTTTTGTTTGTGCTTCCAATTCCCAGAACCTCAGCTTATTTTGAACGCATTTTTAGTGTAATGTCATCTAATTCAGTGGTTTCAACCTTTCTACCATGGCGGACCGGTAAAATTGAATAAAATGTACTCGCGGACCGGCAAAACATTCAAATAAATGGAACATGATATAATAACATATTATATTTTTGTAATAAATGCATTGACGGGCACTCACTATGTTTCTAGGTAAAAAGGCACACAGAAAACTTAATACAGAAAAAATACTATATATCAAATAATGTGCCGGCCAAAAATTGAAACGGGTGGAACTTAAATAAAAAAAATAACGTAATATATTTGCGTAATAAAATGTAGTGCTGGGCACTCATTATGCGCAAAAAAGACACACCGAAAACATCTCAAATAAAAAAAAATATGTAGCTACATGCCAAATCCTGTACAAACACATTTAACTTTAGTGAGAATTTTGCTGCGTGTGTGTACGTATATTTATAGTGATTAGTTATCACTACACATAGATTGTTTGTAGATTGGTCTGGTTTGTGTATTGCATCCCCAGGAGTGACTGACAACAATTTAGGGTAGTGATAACTAATCACTATATTTGGTGAGTTGTTCTCAAGTGGATAATTTGGTTTTAACAAGATATTTCGAATTTACGTTATTGGAATATTACTGGAAAATTTTTTTATTTTTACATGAGATGGCACCGAAAGGCTATTAAAACTTGAAATTGGGTTTTGATAATTGATATAACAGGAATAATTAATTCTGTTTTTCGTGAGTTTCTCACGAATTGGGCCAATTTGGTGTAGTTTTGTAGTTACATAACAACTAATTGGCTACATATTTAGTAGTTATTGACAAAATATCGTGATGAAGATACCGTTACCTAATAAATTAATCAAACGAATTCTGAATTCTTTTCCCAGTTTCTTTGCCAGATGCAGCGACAGTGCCTATCTGTTCCTGGTTTTCTTCTGCATAAAAGAAATTCCAACTCTAAGACTGAAACCTTGTCGCGGTGAGTTGGCTTACAACTGATACCGGTATCAGTCGACACAAAAAAAATTGAGTATTGACATGTGAATCACCTGCCTTCCGGGTATTGACTTCTCATCCCCATTTGTAGCATGATAATTACAGAATCAGGTAGGTAAGCTATTAGTATTATGTATATTAATGTCAACAATCTGGTAGCAGGAAATGTGAACTGGTGAAGGTTTTAAAGCAGGTTATATAGTGTTTCAGAAAAGACGAATCGCTTGCCAGTGTAGGTAAGGAGATTTGCCTCTCTCATATAGTAATATTTAACATTGCACACTGACTTATGTAATTGCAACTCTTGATTCTGCAGAATATATATATGTCCATTTGGTAATATGTCTGATCCAGGAACTTCGAAAGCATTTCTTGCTTCTATCGGGCAAAAAGTGTCTGGAACAAATAACGAGTTGCAAAATCGTGTTATTCTTTACTCAGAACATGCTCAGCTTCTTAAGCGTTATCGCCTTAAGTAAGACACCTTAAAAAAGTACAAAGCAATTTTCAACCGCAAATTGCCTGTAGATGAGGTGAATAGTATTAGTGGTGTGTGGGTTGTTGGATGTTATCCCCCAGTCTCGGAAACTCAGCTTTACACTTACATACAAACATACTGATCGTGAGTTTTTATTTGATATACTGTATTTCAAAACATAGCTCATATTTTCAGGCTGTTACAGTTGGGACCCTGACAGCGAAAGAAAATCTGTATATCCGAGCTCATGTCAGAAGCTCGTACAACAATCTTGTGACCAGAGTGGCCATATTGAAAGTCAAATTTGGAATTCCTCACTTGGCATATTGTGATTGCCTTATTGGCAAATCAAGAATGTGCTCCCATGTAATTGCCATAATATACCAATAGATAAATATTAAAAAAACAGACAATGCAATTCTTGAAACTCAGGTTACGAATTTACCTATGCAGTGGCACAAGCGAGGAAAAAGGACATCTGCGGCTATGCTCCCCATACAAAAAATTCAGGTTTGCCCAGTCATTTTATATTGGATACAACCATTTTCCTCACTTTTTTCAGAATCTTCAAATTACTGTTCACATGCAACTTGAGGTTTCATAAAATTGGCATGCAAACATTTCGTACAATGCATGATAAACCTTACCCAACAATAAAATGATTATGATTCATTGGTGAAATTTGATAATAATTAACTGATTTGGTGCGTGGTACTGATGCGTCAATGGCGCAATATTTACACTCGTCATTCATGGCATGAGAATACGCCTTGTTTTAAGATGTGTGTTATCTATTGCCCATGTTCATCCTCTCAATACAAACATGAGAGCAAATTTTGTTTATTGTAGACCTGCAGTTTCAGTAGAATTAACGATTACATGTTTCGTATTTCATAAACGCAATTTCTTAGTTCGATTTCTTGCTTTTCTGATAATCTCTGCACAGCGATGCCAGATATTAGGAATATTTCGTTAAACAAAGAAAAAACAGTTGTAGAAATACATTGGGGCGATGACCATAAAAGCAGGTTAGTAATTTACTATTTCAGTACTGCCCCTAATTCTAGCTTCTCACGTTCGTACGACTTTCACTAGTGATGAAACTTTATATGAGGTGTTACTTGCAATTAATGTCTCTCGCTTATATATTTCCTGTGTACTGATATTTTAAATTCGACTGTGATCGTATGAATTTAGCAATATGCTCTTTGTAGCTATTTTGTGAATGTATAGTAAAGACGGTTTATTGGTAGCTTGTAATACAGCTTATATAATGTGGCATAATCAGAGTGACTAATAGCCAAGTTGTTCAATAGGATTTGTCAACCTTTGTCAATCATTTTGCAAAAAATGGTTGGAATTAAAAAATTTATTACGTGGAATAATTTCCACTAATATTGGCAAATTACATTAATACTTAACATTCATTACTCATCGATTTTAATCGGTAAGTATGTTGTTAGGTATTTGTCTGTCTGTTAGATGCACGCGATATCTCACGGAAGCGAGATTGGATCTGCTGCAGATTTTGCACGCGCATTCATCATATCTTGTACCAGAAGCCTATTGACTTTGGGCGAATTATGTCGTATAATTAGCGAGCTATCAAGTAATTAGTGATGGGACACAAGGTGTCACTATGGAGTAAGAGCGCTGTTTTGGGATCCCCTAACTTTCGATCGATAAGTCTTCGGTCTCTGGCCGATATTCTCGTTTATTGTTTAATTCTTAACTAAGTAAAAATCGTTAACATGACTCGAATACTGTGTTTCAGCTGGGATGCAATATTGTTGCGTTTGTACTGCCAATGCGACCGCTGCGTTGACAAAATTTGCTTAAGTTCACTCAATGAAGACACCTTTGTGCAGTCAGTTAAGCTGGATACAGCGCCAACTGGTAATCAATTTGATACTAACAAAATTAATCGTAAAACTATTTAGGTTGACAATTTCCTCAATAAAATTCATTTTCCGAAAGAATTTGATCATGACGTTTAAATTTTAACTGAAATTGCCTCATCTTCAAAATTTATTTTTCTATGCCCACAGAAATCGAGAACTCAAACATATTCAATATATAAGATATCTGCGTTTACGTAGAAATATATAATGGAGAGTATTGATATTTTATATATATATTCCAGATAATGATCTCTTGGTGGAAATTGGAAATGATATCTTTGATAAACACGTGACAAAAATTTCATTGACATGGCTCAGGCTAAACTGTTACTGTGATTTGTGTCTTAATAATGCAATTGCTGAAAGACAAACGTCTTTTGTCGATCCGCAAATTAGTTTCATACCATCTGTTGAATATAGCAGAATTGTAGACGACAGGGATGCGGGATTGTTCGAGTATGTTGTATAATGCTACAAATTTTGCGTGCTTAAACGAAATATGTTAATTCAAATAGTTCAAATATCACAAAATGAACCGAATTTCTCTTATATATACTTTGATTGGATAACTTTGTTTTTAAAAGGTTTGCGAGTTTCTGATAAATTGTGTAACACAGGCATCACATGTACACTTGCAAATGGAAATTCGTCTTTGTCTTTAAAGCAGATGTTTTTTTTATGTCAATTGTCAAGTATATATATATTTAAGTACTGGATTCATTTTTTATTGCTTCAACGCAGGGGTGTGCAACATTTTTTGTTGGTGGGCCATATAACCAACTTCTGACATCTAGGGGGGCCACACAAAAAGAGAATGCGGCTATCGCTCAGCCTTACAGGAATAAAGGGTAAAACGGCGAAAGATTTAACGTAGCGAAAAGAGAACAAAATGTAATGTATTTCTACCCATCTTATCAACTTTTTAAACATAAACTGTGAGATTAGGATTTTATGCTTGATGGGGAAAAGTCTGCGTGTTGACAAGGGATCAGCGGTCCGCGACCCGCCTGTTGCACACCCCTGCTTTGATGTAACAATAAAACTACGGGCCAGGACTTTCAAAAATTATTTTAAAGGGTGGCAGAACGGGTGATGAAAGTCGGATTCTGTGTGATAAAAGATACTCCAACGGTGGAAGAAACAGTTATCAAGGTAAGAAGTGTAAAACGTGTGAGAGAGAGAGAAATCAAAATTGTAATTGTTCGTAATTTTGTTTATGTATTTTCACAACTCCAGGTCGCAGAAATGTTTGCTCCAGTGCACGAAACTGTAACGAATAAAGTAGGTTTTTTATTATTTATTTTTTTATTTAAACGATTTTAGAAATAATCAGAAAACAGAAACGTCATTTCACTTACTACTATTTCATAGGCATTTCACAAATAATCGAGCGGTATCAACCTAGCGTTAAACTAAAAATGCCAGGCATATTGCTTTTGAAACTGGAAAAAAAATTTACCCGAATCTTTGACGTTCAGACATTAATGGTTTTTAATAAGTAACGAATTAGTGAGAACGAAACTTTTTTTAAAGTGGAGTAGAAAGATAAATCTATTGATCAACGTATATGATGATTTCGTTTTGTGCAACAAAAGCATCAAGTACAAGTTTATCATAACTTAATATATCAAGCAATAAAAGTGCTAACATATTTTCTACCTATTTTTTATAATTTACTATGATTATCTACATATATTTCATTCATATTACCTTCATAAACTTCCAGATGTTCAATGTTCGAATCCAACCTGGTCCACGAAACACCGCTCATACTGCACTCGGTCTCTGTTACCACCAAGATTTACCGTGGTATGAAACGGAGCCAGGAGTCCAGTTTCTGCATGCTCTGAAGTAAATTTTACGAGTATTCTTTGATTTGAATATAGAAAGGTCAAATTTCCCGTCGAACAATGGTTAAGACATGTTTCGAATAGTCACCTCCGAAGACTTACTGAGTTACTGTGCAAAACGTACTTTTGAGTAATTTTTTATCAAATTGTTTTTATGATCTCTTCAAATATTGTTCCAGGTCCAAATTTATAGTTTTGTTCACAGATTTGATGAAGACATCGAAGGTGGAGAGTCTCAATTTGTGGATCTATTTCAAGTGGCAGAAATTTTAAGAAAGGAAGATCCCGAAGCATTCAATGATCTCGCGAGAATTCCAGCAACTTATGAAACAATCGATTACATTCGAGCAAAACCTGCTCATTACGAGACACTAAAACCACATATTGAACTGGATTATTTCGGAAATGTGAGTTTCAGAAGCGAAAATAGCGTTCCATTAGCATGTCGGTTGATTTTGAGATATCGATTCATATATTAGTTGTGCTTGTAAATTAAATCGCTAAAATAAATCTAAATTTCATAAATACATTTCCCTAAAGATCTAAATTTGACACTCGACAAACAGATCAATAAAGTAGGGTCGAATTGTGGCAACAAGGCGATAATTGGGATATGGCAACATATATTAGAACTTGTGGATAATGTCAGCTTTGAATTACCGCGTTGTTGCCACATTTCGACGCCATCGTTGTCAGTTTTTATTAATGCCGTTATTGCTTCTTTGGACAGTTACAAAATTAGCCAAGTCAGTTAAATAAACAAATAACTGGCGGCGCCCCTATAGACTTCTCTCACGTATTTTCTGGGTCAGAAAATACGATATCTATAAAATATATCAATATAGGGGTTGCTTCGCGTAAAAGTAACGTTTTATATTGTAACTTATACATATGGTTGAATAGAGTAGGGTATACCTAACTACTAATCCGTTTTCTCTCATGTTGGTTAATGGTTGGTATACACTGTGTCTCGAAGAATTTTATAGCAAGAATAAATAATGCTGCATATAGTGGTTCAAAAGTCTTACGCCATACTTTTTCAAGGTTTATTCACATTGGTTTGTCACATTTGGCCGGGCTTCAATCTATATATTTATATGAATTCAAAACTTTCTGGTTATAGGTTGTAGCTTTGCATTGGAATCCGGGTGTGGAAGGAACACTGCGAGCAAAGGGTGATGACGTGAAGAAATATTACAGAGGCTACAACAAACTTTTGGGAATCATAAGACGGAAAGAACTTGAGGTAGATCTGAAAAACCAGTGTAAAGGGAGTAGTATCAAAGCCATATAAGTTAACTAAATGTGCAATCCATGAATCAGGATACATCTTTTCCAGTAAATTTTATACTCGCATGAATCAACTCCTGGAATCCAACAATGACACTATTTGAGCAACGTTGTTGCCTTTTGTCAGCACTAATCAAAATAAGCTATATAATTTCGAATGATATATTTATGAAAAAAGTACTCTTTCTTGCAGTGGGCATTCAGAATGGATGCTGGTGACATTATTGTCTTCAACAATCATCGAATGGTACACGCAAGAAAAGCGTATTCTTCGAAAGAAAATGGACAGCGACATTTGCAGGTAAGCATTGCCGTCGTTTTTACTTATCTCGCAATGGGTAATTGAAGATCGCGATGTGCTAATTTGCGAATTTATACAATTTTCTTGACTTACGACGGGACTGAACGTTTTTAGTTACTTTTACTGTATGTTATACGTTTTCAGGGTTGCTACATCAGTTTGGACGAGTTTCGTAGTGTGTATGTTACACTTGGAGAATCGCTGAACAGAGAAGTCCCGTTGTTCAAAGTTGGCAATAAGAGCAGTTTCTAATTAATATACATAATTGTATTTTCTTAATGTATATATAAAAAATAAATTTATCTAATTTAAATCAAAGTGGATATTATATATACAGTTTTACTGTACTGTACAATATACTCTATATTGTTTGTTCAATAAAAATTTCGACAATAAATAAAATAATAATTGATTTCACTTTCATGCAGGAAAAAGTGCAAAATAAATATGTTGGTTTTTACAGTAAATAGACATAGACAAACATTCGAGAGTTTCTTCATAATCTAAAGCAGGGTGGTCCAAGGTTGTCGGCGGTTGTCCAAGGTAGTAGACTACAACAGGGTAATATCCCGACATTAATTGATATTTACTAAATTTTCTTACATATAGGCACCAACTTTGTTTTTGTGTCACTGTTCACGCTGATTAAAAAAAGACAATGCGGCAGGGAGTATGTTGCTATAGGCTGATATTTAGTTTTCTATACGAATATTCAAGAAAGTAAGAGATCAATTTGTGGAAGTTAAGTCATTCAAGCGTGTCGAAATTGATAACTGAGTTTTAAGCCAGTTTAGGCTGACTAAACACACTTTCTGGAACCCTACCAAATTCACTGACTGTTTCGTTCCAGCTATCCCTGTCACAAGTAAATTCAACTACGTTTGGTGATGCGACAATGTGTAATAAGATTTTCCCGGTTATTTTTATCACGAAACAATACCAAAATGCTATTTTTTGGTTGTCACCAATTATGACCTATATATATATATATCAGCAAATGTGACGCATGCCGCAGATAATATTACAGCGGGCCACATGTGGCCTGCGGGCCTGGGTTTGAACCCCCCTGATCTAAAGTTCTAATCGAATTCCGGTGAAATATACGGCACATGGCCAGTGGAACGTAGACAATAAAAGAATAAATAAATATTAAGTAATGAAGAAGTTTAATCAAAGTTTCCAAGCCTTTCTCATCATGACGTCAAAGTATATATCGTTGTCGATAGAAGCACTCACTCCTACGTAATAATTGTAAAATTCATCATACGTTACGACACCATCCGGATCACCAGGAGTATCGAAATTTTCCAAAAATTTTGCAAATACCTAAAATGGGAATAATAATTACTTGAATATTTACGTAGATCAGAGAAAGATCATTCCCTGCTGTTATGGTTTATTAAAATATTTTTAATTAGGACTCGTTAAAAAAATGTTGGTCAGCTACTTACAGAGAACTATTGTAATGATAAGGTATTATACACAAACCTGATCTTCCGACCATTCTCCGTTTACGTATTTTGGATGATGACTTGCATCATAAACACCGTATAAGTCTTCAACCGTCACTTGTCCATCCCCAGTGCGATCGAGTTTGCGGAAAGCTCTGAATAATTTCAAGCGTTTAATATTTTGGAAAATAAACGGGAAAAGATTCATTAAATTTATCCTAATCGCGAGGGATAATTAACGATTAAATTGAAGCATTATTATTATTGATGACACACGGCCTGACGCAGGGATTTTCATCCGGAGGTACCTTCAAGGAGGATTTTTACAAACAGGAAAGCATACGACCATGGTTTAGCCCCACATTTCCCAACCGGGAAGTCCTCACTTGGGGTTTAGTGGGGATCGCCAGCGCACCTCTGATTACCTTGCGTGGGTTCGCAGGTTCGAATCCCATGCGGAATGGTTATGTGCAAGAGGATTGCTGGACTCCTTGACGCCGTAGGGTGGTTCACGTAACGGCTGGTCGGTTACGGCTTTCTCCATCAACAAGTCCATGCTCCCGAAAATAAATAACTGGTTAACTATTCCTATACCCGACACGGACTGGTGACCGGTCAAGAGGCCGTGATTCGCCATATATTATGGGCTTTCCTCTCCCCGAGGATAAATATGTAAGTCCTCTCCTTACTATGATACTTACTTGTGCTCACATAATCACATTAAAATCCGGAGTGCCACTTGCGCACAACACTAGTTAAGGATCATCCGAAGATTGAAAAAATAACTTAGTTTATATGCGTAGTGAGGGAGAAACAAAGAGTTCAAAAACAGACAAAGGGATAAATTCAACGAAAAAGGTTGCGAAGCAGTGAAGGACATTGCTCATTTTCTCCAGTTCACCTACAGCACGCTGGAATGGGCATACTATACGCAATTAATTGATTACATATTTGGCCACATACCTCTGGATCAAATTCTTTCTTGCCTTTGATAGTGACGGGCGCAGTTTTACGATAAATTCATCGAAATCAATCGCCCCAGAATGATCTCTGTCAAATGAGTCGAATAAATCTGTGATTTCATCTTTTTCCAAGTCAACACCATAATCTCTCATTCCCTTTTTGAATTCTTTAATATCTATTCGTCTATTGTGATCTGAAATATAATTTACATTAGCATCTCTTTTGATTGAACTTTTACTCACAGAATAAAAAACATCATAAAAAACGTATTCATAAACAGCTATTTAAAGCGCCATTGTTTATTTGTTTTTAATATTTAATTCTGTTATAGCTATCAGGGTATTCAATTCAAACCTGGCAACGACAATTGCAGTTGCTAAACCACCAATATATTTTCGCGGTAAATTAGACATTCAAGTAGCTTACCATCATCGATGATTTTAAAAATACGTCCAAGTCCTTTGATACCACTTGAACCTCTTGCGAGACATTGCAGCCTGAGTCTTTCTATGGGATCAGTCGCACTTTGTAAGCGATGATTTGCTTTCTTCGCCATTTCATTATCGTGTCGAGCTGTACCAGCCATCTCTGTGTTTATTCGACACAATAGGTCAATTACCTTATATGTTTATACTGTTGAATGAAACTGAACAACATTTGTTTAAATCGTTTTTCATTTAAAAGCTTTTATTATAGAGATTAGTGAATTATATCAAATAGCAGATCGGTATCGGCTTTGTGGAAGGATAGAGCACATAATTTCATTTTATGTATCTATAAATTGAAACTAGTCAAAATTCCTGTGCTCATCTCAATTGCACATGTCTGTATAATTTCAATCCCTCGAGAGACGCAATAAAAATGTAGCTCCAAAGGCTTGTTCTTTCTAGATTTGCCTTATATTATGGAGTATGGACCGCGTGTTATAGCATTGCTGTATGCGAAACAACTTGCGCTTTTACTATTGGTATCTACTTATCACACTAATCCGCCAAACAGATTTCCTACTAACTGTATACAAAAGACATGATCACTGAGGGTAGTCGCCAGTTATAAATACCAGTTGATTGCCATATACGTAACAATCCCGTTTTTGAACTACCATTGACAAGAGACGAAGACTGACTATGTTTAAACTGCTAAATCATTTGTATGCATATTGTCTATAACCACTTACTCAATAACAAACCATAACCACGCACTTCTCGTTCTTTTATACAACTAATGAAGCAATATGGAATGTAAAATCGTTTACACCAAAAATGTTGACTGAGTACAATGCTATGCTCATGGTTCCATTACATTTGAACCCATGACAATTGCACCTGCATACTATTGCACCTATGGAAATTTTTTTGTTGTACGGATAGTTGAACCCATACTAACCCTAACCCATGGGTTTCAGCACTCGCATATTGATTGAACCCGCGGATATAGACATGGATTCAAATGTACGTGGGTTCAAATGTACGGTCACCTATGCTCACACAAAAACACGTTACTTTTTTACAAACTCTTACGCTCAAGCATTTACGATCGCATAAGTGGGCAGAAGTGCTTACCAAGGTATCTCGTGCCACATTCATAATGACAAAGAAAAAATCCAAGCTGAAATTTGATACTTTTCTTTTAATACATCTCGCCTATTCCAATTTGGATCGAATCTCAAATGTGCCCTTTGATGAAACTTTACAAAGTCGTCTAAAATTCAAATATCAGAAATCGCTCTTAACCTCATGCTTTTGAAAATTTTCGAGTATGAATCCTCTAATTTCATATCTTCATAAAGTATTTAAAGCAGCATTTCACATCTGAAAGTAATTTCTTGACCTTCTATCCAGCTCATCGCATCGGAGTTACGGCGTTACTAATATGGCCACTGATTTATGGCCGACCACTCCCATTTAGCTAAGGAAGACTTGCGACAACTTACTGCTGGCAATAAAATAGTGCTCAAGAATTTATTACATAGAAACACTAATATTTGCTTGAATCAATAATAATGGCCGGGCATGACATATATATATATATGGTGTATTTATAAGGCGTCAACCGTCCAAACGAGAACTGTATCCATACTGCGTAACCTTGACAAAAAAAATGTTGATTAATTAATACACGAACGGGTATGGTATGGAACGCGTCATATTCGTACAATATTCGCTTATGATTGGCAAGAAAAAAGGTTTAATTGTGTTGTATAATTGTTGTCTTCTCTTATTGGTATATAAAGTTGATGCACTTGCCCTGTAAATTACAAATTGTATGCCTCAAGAAAGTACCTTAATTACTTTGTACAGCACAGGGTACCCTAAGTCCTAAGATACTATGCAACAATTCGAAAACTAATACAATCGCAGACTGTGATTTGTTCTGTCGCTGTTCCTGAAACAAATTTAAAGGTAGCTTACTTTTTTTTCTTTCATGTCTGAATGCTATAACAAGACCGGTAAATTGGTACACACACTGCATCCGTTTGCGTATCGATGTTCAAAAGTCGGTTTACAAATAAATTATTCAAATTCTCTGTTTTGATGCGGAGAATTTATATCCAGTCTAATCAACGCGAAAGTACGTTGCAAAGTGCCGTCACCGGACATACGACAAAAAGAGCGGCCATTTACTAATTTTGCTTACACCATGGTCGTTAGACTCGTTACCACAAATGGTAGCATAAATATTTAGTTAATATTCTAGAACTGATCTCGATTCTTTAACACTCTGGTTTCTCCTCATTACACGAACAAATCTTTCGCCTTTTACTAAAGATTTCCGTGGGGAGGAGCGCTCAATGAGTCTTCACTTATTTTTTTGCCCGGCCGAGCTCGGGTTTTCACTAATGAATACTAATGAATTCGCTTCGATTATCGTAGGAAGCATTGTTCAGGTAGGGGTTTTTGTCAAGCGAACATGGACCGGATTAATGTTCCCTCGGAGAAAATTTTACACTGAGCAAATGTTTGTTTCAGTGAGCAAGAATATTTTGAGGCTGAATTAGCACAATCCTAAAGACTGTACAAACTTTGTGAAATATTATTATGGCATTATGGAGCATCCAGAGAAATCAAGGTACAGTTTTTGGACTTAACAGACACGTGTGTGACATAATAACGAACGATGGTGAGCAAAATACACGTGAAACATTGACGAACCACACTTTGAAACGCGAGGCTGCAAGAGCGCTGGATTGAGATTTCACTACGCAAGTGGTTTGGGGGTACTGCACAATGCGCACCTTGAAGAAATCCTTGAACCGGACCTCTGTAGTAAAATCGATAAACTTCTTGACAGCAACTCGGGATAGATAGGATTTTTTAACAAGCGTATGGAATTGGGAAGCAAATCGGTTGTCATTCGTACTATATATAATTGTCACCTGTCCGCAAAAATGATCTTGTACTGAACTGGTCACTGTCGCATAAGATTGAATACTGTTCTCAAAACCAAACCCGATTATCTAACACAGGGGTTCTCAAACTTTTGGTGTTGCGGAGCCCCTAAAAAGATTGACTATTATTCGCGGAGCCCCAAAAGAAATGTTAAAATTGTAGCTTTCCGATAAATATACCTGAATAAGTTAAAAGTACTTAACTTAATTTAAATGCTAAACCTTTTTTTAATGGGGTTAATGCAAGTCATAAATAAATCAAAATTTCAAAGATAAATTATATATACTCTTACTAAAGCTGTAAATTTGACACTTGACAAACATATTAATAAACTAGGGGTCGAATCTTTTCCCTTTTGACATTTTCGGAAGACTTAAAAGGCCGCTAATAACGTGTGCGATTGCATTTTGTTACAATCACTGATAGTTTTCGTCAGCATGGCATGTTTTTAAACATCTTTACGCCGGTGTTTATTCTCCCTAAATCAAAAATTTTCTTCGGCATATACATGTATTGTTTCACAATGACGACGATAATTGCTTTTTTGTTCTCGTGGGGAATTATGAGTTCAATGTGAAAAACATGTTACCATATAGTCATCGGCGACGAAATGCTAAAAATAATAATTAATAATAAGGGGTAAATCGCAACTCAAATTTCGTGATTGAAAAACGGCATTCTAAAATATTAAAACTTAAAATAAAAGATCACGCTATAAGTTTGGTTTTAGCAGACTCATGTCAGATTAAAAACGCTTTTATAGGCATTGTAAATCTCAAAATTTGGTGTAATGTTAGGTTTTCTTTGGTTATTCATTGTATATATAGTAACTGCGAAATCGAAACACAGTCAGTCAATTGTGTGCGCGACATAACTTTTTTTTTATTCTGAACCCACCGACGGAGCCGCATGCATTAAAATAAATTTCAATCATATTTTGCTCAGATCTTGTGATTTTTCAAACGGCGATATCTTGCTTAATAATAATCTCGAGTGCAGCAGAACAAATCAAGTTTGACAAATTCCAAGATCGCACAAATACGACTCCAATTTATTTATAAGTAAAAATAACATGATCTTTTTCAACGAAATAGTAAGTATATTTGCGAGCTTTCGTTAGATTATGGTCTAACTTCTTCAAACAATACAAGATATAGCTGTAAATATAAAGAATTCACAAGAATTCAATTTATTTTGAAATTAAGTTTTCTATAACTGATTTAGATGCTATGGTAATTTAATCCATATCCTTATTATTAAATTACCAAAGCATCTAAATCAGTTATAGAAAACTTAATTTTAAAATAAATCAAATTCTTGTGATCTTTATATTTACAGTTATATCTTGTATTGTTTGAAGAAGTTAGACCATGATCTAACGAAAGCTCACAAATATACTTACTATTTCGTTGAAATAGATCATGTTATTTTTACTTATCACTTTAATACTATCTCGTTCAAGCATCCTTGTGGTGAGTGCCACATACGGATCCGAAGTAGAAAGTAAACAAGGAGAAAGGACCTGCAGTTCAATACACAATATCCAAATTCCCTTAATTTATTTATACTTGGCAGTTTATCACGTATTTTATGGATTTTAGAATAGTATTCTTTCATTTTAGTAATCCTAATAGTAATCTCGAATGAAACTTGAGTAACTATGAGTACAATTGAATTATTACGATATGACACTTTAAATGCTCGCATCGGCCATACATTGAATATTTTACGCAAAAGAAATCTCTTTATCCGTTTTCTTATAATCGCAAAGAATGTTGCGCGGAAATTTCCGATTCAAATCCCCACCGCTTGAGAATCCTGGCTGCGTTCCAGCTTATAAATAATGTTATTTTTTAATTCCGCCTCTTTTCCATATTTCGAGGCTATATTGTTGTCAAATTTTATCAAAGCTGTTATTGCTTCTTTGAACAGTTACAAAACTAGTCATTATTTTGAAAAGTAATCGAATAGCTCGCGGAGCCCCTGGGTTTCTCTCGCGGAGCCCTGGGGCTCCGTACGGAGCACTTTGAGAACCTATGATCTAACAAGTGGTGTATACATTCTTATCTTAAACGAACAGCAAAATAAATGCGGAATTCAAAGAGAGAGAGTGAGATTTATTGCCACAAAAACAAAATCAACACTAATATAAACAATAATAGATAATAATATAATGAAGAAAATATTTCATCAGTAATAAACAGAGATTGATTATTGTTTTGTGCGGGTCAGTGTGCAGGACCGATTAAGGTCATCTAGGCTCCCGACCCTTTTGTAAATGCTGTATATAAGGTTATCATGGCATAATATAGTACCATGGGTAAATGCAAATGGGATTAAATAAAATATATATAAGATAAAGAAATGAGTGAATGAGTCGGCAATTTAAAGTTATTATTATTAAAGTTATCAAAGGGCAATTTAGGATTTTGAGAGGTCATGTACCGATGTAACCGATCATGTCCAATGAAAGAATTAAAACAGTCAGAGATTTAAAAAAGCTTTTTTTTTTATTGGACACAGACCGAGATCAAAAATTGAAAGATAGGGACAAGAAAATAATAATAATATCATCACAGATTCAGTAATGGAGTGCATGACGTAAAAGTATCATTTGACTCCTTTTGGCACCTTAATTAGTTCACATGAAGAAGCAGGGGAAAAATAATAACAATCGATGAATATTGTTTAATTGCTACCAGCATTCATAAGTATTTATACATACTTGAATAAAGATTCGAATATTTATGTATTATCCACAATTAAATATACAGCTCACTTGTTACACAATGAGTTTAACAATATAAAAAGGTTATTAGGTAAATTAATTTACGAAATGAAAGCATGGAAAAACACAGTGACAATCACTGAATACTGTATGGTGGCTACCAACATTCATAAAGATTTTTAAAAATATGAATTAGAAATGGAGTATCAATGTATGATCCACAATTAAATATCCTATTGATAATGCAGTTCATCACTTATTATATAATTAGTTTAACATGTAAATAGGCAATCTGATGTAGCTGCAGAAGAGTATTCAGGACTGCAAAAACTTGATAATAATGGACGTTATTAGGTATAATCTACGCAAAGCTGAAAAAGTGTCTCAAATTCAATCACACGGCTGGTATTTTACAACGACTAACATAGCCTACATCAGGGGTGGGCAACCTTTTTCGGCTCGCGTGCCAAAATCGGCTAAATTTAGCGACAGAATTCTTCCGCGTGTCGACCAATATTAAAAACAATGCTTTGCTACTGTCAAAGAAAAAAACTTTTTTACATGTACAGACAGATCCACTATTCGGTAAAATATCAGTCCGGCAAATAGATTTTATTACTTTTCTTATTAGTCTATATTCAGTTAGTCTGTTCTATATTAGTGAGACTTCTGCTGCTGCAATACCGCTGATAGACAATTTTGGCACGCGTGCCAGGGGTTGCCCACCCCTGGCCTACATGGTATTTGACATACACGGTATTTGTTAATCAGTGGGACAAAAAGACTTTCACAAGGATCGCACTGCAGATGGAATCGCTAGAAGGAGGTAACGAATCAATCAATATGCTACGTGCGTAGTAGAAAAAAAAGTTGAACCTTATTGAACTCTTGACTTGTTTGTTATTCTTTCGATGGCGCCGGCGTGCGAACAATCGCGATGTTTTCGCTGGTAAGTCATATAGAGATGACTTCCACAGCGAAAGTGTACATTCACTATCGTTTGTTGTATACCCGTAACGGTTAATTATTACGTGCGGTAGACTATCAGTCAAACAGAATATTTTAACATTATCGGTTAATCTATTAATTGTGTTTAATTGTGTTTGTTTATTAATCTTTGGGTTTATTGTAGGATATGATAAAACAGTAAAACGATCTCCAGATCTTGTAACACACTAACATGAGGCTTTGTCGACCAACATCGTGGGCAATTTTTTGACATGGTTTTCGGTAGAGTTTTCGTTTGTCCATTCATGCTGGGTCTTACTCTTCTCCTGCTAAGCAGTGAAGTTTTGGTGGCAAAAGCAAATGTTCGTAATGGGGATGTTTTTCTTGAAATTAAGGCAAGATTGGACAAGAATACAGTAAGTCACAAACACTTCTGCTGTTATGATTTTGTTAAATTTCACTTTATTTCGCTTAAAGCTTTAAAGTCTAAAAAATTGTAAGTCCTGAAGTCAGTACTGCAGTAAAGACTTTTAAAACTTTCAGACTTTGTTAATTTTATGTCACGGGTGCTAAAATATAGTTAAAGAATCTAACTATTAGCGTGTTCTTTTTGAATAGGCAAATACTACAGTACTAGTAGTACTAACTTTACATATTTTTTCTAGACAGTTAGAGAATCATTCTTCACAAATGTTCAGGACAATTCCGTCATTATGCATTTTCAACTTCATAATGGAATGATTTGTTACCTCGCTTATGATTTTTCTAATGTAAGTAAAGTACTGTAGAGTATCAGCTTATATTGTTTATTCATATAAAATTATAGTAAATATGTTGTAATCAATACCTAGTTCATGGTGTTTTACTATTTCTACATTGTATTCTTTGCTGCAACTTATTCTTTTTTTTGTTACAGGAAATCAAAATCTTCAAAGTTGATGTTCTTGGTGAACCAGAGTTGGGACAAAAACAATATCAATCATTATGTTTTGTAACAAAGTTGCATAAAAATGACATCATTGCATCTGATTCTATGGCGAAGTTACGTCAGGTATGTAGATCTAATTTTTTTTTTTCTCTAGCCTTGAAGCAACTGTCTGCAAACTACGGTACGCAAGCCAATTGCGGCCTGCAAAAAAGTTTTTTGTGGCACTCAAAATTCCTTCATTTCCATGCATCAAAACTGAAATGTTCATAATATTGTTGATTATAGGCGTTAATTGATGCGCCCCGCATACTACCAGAAATGTGTTTATTTGGCCCAGTAATACATAAAGTTTGCCAAACACTGCCTCAACGGCTATATATCCCAATTGATATTGGGAAAATATCATGATTTATTTTCTTGTGTCAAGCAGTTAAAAAGAATTGTATGGCACCCCCTTAGGTATTGACTTCAGGAAGCTAACTTTTCAGTGACATTGTTACATTTTTATCAATATTAAATTAAAAGCGGTAAATTTTGTGTATTTATTAATCTTTGGGCATGGTAAAAAATTTAATGAATTGTTTTGGTTATAAGGAATAAACGAACAATTTTTTTTTTAAAAAAATGTTATTGTACTTCCTGTATTCTTAATTGTCCAAACGATTATTTTAAATTCTGATATTTTGACTACAAATTAACTTGCATTACACCTATTGATGACAGAAGGTATAATTATCTTTTATACGGTGGACTTATTATATTAGAGTATATTATCAATGTTCATATGTGACTCCATTTCTGGCTTGTATCTCAAATTTATTTTCAGAAAAAACCCACTATTAGATTACATGCTCTGATAGTTTTATATGAGTTTTCAATTTCCTGTGTTTTGTATTTGAATGGATGAAATTTGATTATTGTCTATAGACTTTTAACAACCATAAAATCGACAATGCGTATTAACAATAAATCTTCCATATTTTATAGGCGTTAATTGATGCGCCCCGCATACTACCAGAAATGTGTTTATTTGGCCCAGTAATACATAAAGTTTGCCAAACACTGCCTCAACGGCTATATATCCCAATTGATATTGGGAAAATATCATGATTTATTTTCTTGTGTCAAGCAGTTAAAAAGAATTGTATGGCACCCCCTTAGGTATTGACTTCAGGAAGCTAACTTTTCAGTGACATTGTTACATTTTTATCAATATTAAATTAAAAGCGGTAAATTTTGTGTATTTATTAATCTTTAGGCATGGTAAAAAATTTAATGAATTGTTTTGGTTATAAGGAATAAACGAACAATTTTCTTTTTAAAAAAATGTTATTGTACTTCCTGTATTCCTAATTGTCCAAACGATTATTTTAAATTCTGATATTTTGACTACAAATTAACTTGCATTACACCTATTGATGACAGAAGGTATAATTATCTGTTATACGGTGGACTTATTATATTAGAGTATATTATCAATGTTCATATGTGACTCCATTTCTGGCTTGTATCTCAAATTTATTTTCAGAAAAAACCCACTATTAGATTACATGCTCTGATAGTTTTATATGAGTTTTCAATTTCCTGTGTTTTGTATTTGAATGGATGAAATTTGATTATTGTCTATAGACTTTTAACAACCATAAAATCGACAATGCGTATTAACAATAAATCTTCCATATTTTCCATTTGATCTCGGGTTTTTATGTATAGGATAATAGGTATTAATGAAAAATTTATTTATGTGGTGCGCGTGACATTTTTCAAATTGAATGGATTACTTAGCCAAATGGGGAATACAACATAACTGTGTGCTTTATCATAAAGACATATTTGATCATGTGTTATTTCTTCATATAGTGTTTGTTTGTGGTAGGTGGGTTATGGAATGAATAAACTTTCTTGATCGCCAGAATGTTTCAACTTCACCAGTACCATACTGGTGTTTAAAAAAAGGGAACATTATTACTAAATATCAAAATCAGTAATGTTAAGAGTATTCAGAATATATTTTATGATATATAATTGTTACCAGTTATGTTCCCAATTGATCATACATTGGACCACGGTTTTATTGAAAGCATGTTCTTATCTAGTAAACAAAGTTTCTATGAGTCATACATCACTTCCGAACATTTTCTCTATAGTGCTCATAATTTTGAGGAATATTTCTTCTTGTTTTCGAGGTCTTTTATTTTTTTCTAACATATTCTGAATCTTAAATGTTTCTATGATAAGTTTATTACGCAACTCTTATCTATTTTTGTTTATTTATTGATTTGTCACTTAATTTACATATTAAATACCGATTAAATTGAAATTACGTTTTTTATATTTACAAGTCTAGGTAAACATCTGTAGACTTTAGGACAAAATTTTTTTCAAGTTTTTTTTTTTATTGTAGAAATATTTTGGGGCATATTTTTAATAAACTTTCTCTACCTTGGTAATAATACTTCTCATTTTATATTGGATGGCTATAACTGATAACTAGGTACTTATTATAGGTGTACTTTTATCATATAAACAAGTCATTATAAGGTTACAGTAGCCACCTGTCAGTTTATAGATAATCCATTAATTGGCACTTGTGAGATGATCTGTTCTGGATCATCAAGATTTGATATGGCAATATCTGGTTCATCTACTTTCTGAGTAGTTATCATTGTAAATAATGAATACTATATTTATATATATATTTGTGCGTCAAAGCACCCTAGTATGCAACTCTACTCGCAAATAGAATGGAATGAAAATGACGATTTTATAATGTTCTAAATTTTTTATGGTGATAATTTACTGATCGAATGAAAATGGATTTTTTCAAATTTATCCCACGAAGTGGTAAACCATTGCTCTGCTTAATTTTAAAAATTTAATTTTTGTTTTCTGGGTATCCATTTATTATTTATAGTATTTCAAGAATTTTTACTTTTGCTTTTTGACAGAAATCATCAGGTTCTATCCAAGAAGCGAATGACGTTTTGAAACCTCAGGAATTTTTGACTGACATCCAACTAATTAAAATGGGAAATACACAGAATATTTTGGGAGAAAAATTTCAACGACTGTGTTCTGGCCCTGAATCAATTGTTCATGCGAAAGAATCAGAATTGTACTCTCTTGCAAAAGGTATGGTACATTGCTGGTATCATGTTTCTGTAGGGGTAACAGTGTACTTTAACCTCCATTGCTGAATCATGTTTACCGCAAATACCTATCCATTCAAATGGGATTATCAGGTTTATGGTAATAATAGGAATGGATTTTCAATTTCCTCAATTCGATGTATAGTAATTTTTTGTAAAGTGCATGTTGGGAAATGGTAGGCAAATGTGTTTGGTCATACGAGGATGCCCAAAAACGAAGAGATTATTCCAATCTATTTGAAATTAATTGTATTGTACAATATTTCAAATTTTTATAAATTCTAATAGTTTCTAATGATGAATTATTATCTTGAGCAATTGAACTCTCAGGGTATGGCCATAGAGGCCTTCAATAAATTGAACCAATGAAATACCTATTCATCTTAATTTCCTGCATTTTACAATTTAACTCGTTGGATATACATCAACTTCTGCTTTTTTTTTGTTGAACAATTTTGAATATATTTGATATTCCATATTCAAAAATAATATTTCGGATAGAGTTCTATATTATTCAAATTTAGTCTTCTGTCCCGGGGGTATTCTAGACAAGTGTATTAAGCAAACCAAAAACAGACAGCAAGCTATTTGAACTTCTAAAGAATCAAGATTTCTTTATAATAGATAGCCTTTTTGTACTGTATTGAATGCTAGTTTTTATTTATATCAATTTTCTGGGTAACATTTGAGCTGGGAATTTCATCGTGTCAATTCAATTTTGCAAGATTGGCTAGCTATTCGAGCATGTGAAAATAGAGCTGGATTACTGTTGTTTATCCCAAAATTGATTTTGGATGGGTCTTGCAAGCATAGCTTCATCAGTTCATAAGCATGTTCAACTTGATTGTACATTACTGGTACCGGTATATGAGTTCTTTTTCTGTACATATATACATTTTATATGTTTGGTTCAAGTATAAACTTTTCTACTTCTATGATTTTCAATTAAAAAAACACAATGCTCTTATTTTTTTCTTATTTGCTGACCATATTCATGGCATAGGAAGCTCAAAGTTAGGAAATAAAGAGGGCGATACCAACCTTTGTCATGATTGGCGAACATTTTTAGGAACAATTTATAATATAATTTCCAAGTCACGAATCTGGTTTATGTGATCATGCTAGGGATGTGAGGGAGAAAATTGGGCTATTGGTGTGGTTTATTGAATTGGCTTATTTCTGCCATAAAATTGCTACTGTTCAACTTAATCATATCATTGTTGGGTCAATGATTTGATTTCATGGGTTATTTCATGCTCGGCTGGACAATTTAAACTGTAGTAAATCCATTCATGGCGTCTTAGTGGATTTTAATAGAATATTCTATGTCTGGACTAAAATATAAATAAAAAAGAAAGTAGACAATCAGCATTACCAAAAGATTTTTTCCTCAAATTCAAAAATTAGAAATTATATTTTGGTATTGCTAACTTTCAAAATATAAATATATAGGGTTAGAATCAAAATAATCTTTTTTTCAATTTTTAACTGTTAAGATGAGAACGAACATCCATAGGTTTTATAGGTTTTCATCATTTTTAAAATTAAACGTGTTTTCAAGAGTTTTACAGCACATGGGGATTTAAAAGTAGTAGTCTAATCCCCTTTTACCTCTTTATTTTGAATGGTGGTGCCAATTTTCTCAAATTTAAATATACTGTGTCTACCAGGGAGTCATATTTATTATATCCTGTGTGATCTTTGAGAAAATTGATGGCTTGATTTGGTATCATCTAACTACAGAATGCCTTTAGGCAATTGCTATTAGCCTTACACTAGTGTATTAATGTCATTTTGATGATAGTCCTATTTCCTGTCTATGTTTTTAGCGATGGATTTTAAATTTCAATTTTAAAAATGGAAGCCTGGTTAAATAATGGCGTACATTGTGATATGGGGTTGTACTTGTGACTGATTCTAAAATTTTGCTGGAGTGTCGAGAAAATTTTCAAATTGCGATATTTTGAAATGATTCAATAACAAAAGAATAGAATGTGTACATCATTGTGTATTTGTAATATGTAATATAAAATATTATATCATTGTGCTACATTTGTTATGGAATATATCTCTGCATATTGTCTAATTGACAATCAATCTTGATCAAATTTGATTTGATAGAAAATAGTCTCATCCATCATTTCTTCTTGTGGCATTAAGGTGAATGATAAATCGAGCAATAAAAACATCTTGAATGTGGTAAAGTAAACCTGGAAAGATTCTGGTTTGAATAATTTTCCATGTCTGATTCATATGTAATTCAAGTATAATCAAATTTGATCAATAAGAGTTTTTCCTATGCTGGAATTTCGCCAACGTTACTTATTGTTTAAATAATCTCAATTTGACGTTTTGTCAGGATTGTGTTTGTATATACAAGATTTAGTTTTTAAAAGCCTCAATTCTGTGTGTGGGATATTTTCTTAGTGCTAATACACACATAGGGCGTGAAATTCCGGAGTATTATTGTGGCTGACCGAGGATATGCGGTGTAAAACTAAACCATCCCGTACTAAAGGCACTTAAATAACCTTTGTTTACTTATGCTTTTCATTCACAACTCTTTAAAAGATTTTTGGACCAGGCATATAAATGCCTTCTTCACCTCTTATCGCAGTAACGCATCGCTAAGAGAATACTATGTCATTGAATATTGAGTTTTAATGGCATTGTTTTTGACTGAAAAATATTTTCATCTGTGAAGTTTTTTTTTCTCCCAATTCAAAACGATGAACAACTGGTTTTGTATGAGCCATCTTAATCAGGTTGGTAGAAATCGGTTACAATATGCCAAATGAAAAATTTCATTTTGTATAACCATAATATGGATTACGGAGTGGAGTCTTGTATGGGGCTGTGCCCTAGAACATTTCAATATAAATCTAATTTCTCGTATTCAAAATTCTTTACTCTTGTAGTGTGCGTACCAGGTTAGGGTTAGTTAGGCCATAATTTTATTCCGATTTTCCTTATTTTAGTCATATTATGAGTTCGAGGACTGTCTGTGTTAGCCAAGTGATTATACACAACTTGATGTAAAGTAGGCGAACAAAATTAGTTACTTCCACATTGGTACACACACTTCTGGAGTGCCCTAAATTCTCTCGTATAGTTTCAAGTGTATTTTGTATCGTACATTCCATTCAGATATTTCTATCAGCAATTATTTTTGCTTTGACCTGTGAATCGTTGAGAATTTGAGCACTCTACTGAGACCACCCCAGTGTTTTTTAAGTAATTAATAACTTTGTTTTGAAGAATGTGTCACCCTGGTAAATAAGAGGTATTGCTTCCGTCAAGTGTTTGTAAATATCATGGCGAAGGAGTATATAAGTGCACGTTTTATGGTTTCAATTTAACACTTAGACCAAACAATAGGCATTCTTTTTTAAAAAAATAGGAGTTGATAGTGTATTTGTCATCGTGTGGTAATTTTTTTTACATACTTCGCTAGCCTTTTTCATCGTATAAAATGTTTGTGTTCATTTAACCATAATACCAATTTTCCAGTATATCCTTTTTTCTATGCCGACAAACATTATCCTAAAACTGAACACTGAAGTATAGTTGGATATTTAACGTTGCAGTGTGTGAGTGCGCTAAATAAAATTAATTGAATCAATCGACAGAAACTAGCTTCTAAATAAAATGTTATATTTCTGTGAAGTCTGATAAAACATTTTTGAATGGTCTTTATCACTATCCCCAAATTTTAATTTAATTCGTTTCATCTGGTAAATTTCGAATTATATTTCTTATAATGTGGAAGGATTCCCGTCTTTACTTTACTGTCAGTCTGATATGAGATAATCAAACCCCTTCTGATAAGTCAAATTTGTGCCCACGAGTTGCAGAAGTTATTTAAGTCATACAATGTCGTAAACATCCTAAAGTTCAAATTTCTTGAACAAATATTGTTTTATTAACATATATTTATATACTGGATAATTCCATATTGGCTGCAAACCAGGGTATTTGATGAATAACATGTGTATATCTTGTTTTGCTTCATATTATCTACGACATCAATGAAAATAAAATTTATCACATACATGTTAAACATGTCTGAATGTTGAACTTACAGCAATTACTATTCTAATAATTTGTCTTAAGCTAAATAGCAATTTTAAAAACCTAACCAAGTGAAATATTAAATTCCTTTTTGCCAATTTGAACAAATTCAGAATATTCCGAATTTAAAAAGGAATTGAAGAGCGAATCTTAGATTGGTAACCTATTATTATATAATATAGAGTTCTGCAATAATGTATCATCGTAAAAAAATTTTCAATTATGATATATTTTCAACTTCTATTACAGGCAATTCAGAAACCTTTGCAATTTTAAAAAGTCGTATACGCAAACCAGAATCAGGAGAATCGTTGGCAGAATGTTCATTCAAAACAAAAACCTCATCTAAGTATCTTCCATGCAAATGCAAGATTCCTTTCACTATTCCATGGTATCCGTGTCTGGTCAAATACTGCCCATCGAAGAATTCTCAAGGTGCGTATTTTCTTTAACAATGATTATAAAGCTGTGGATATAGGTAGAGCTAGGCGTTTTCGAAACATTAGTGTTTATCATTATTTTTATCTCAAGAAGAGGAAGTCCCTTGCACCCTATGTAATGGCTGGGCTCATTTGCTATGTTATCCAATGCCATAGTTTTTTATTCTGTGAAAATGTGATACCTTGACGAATTTTAGTTTGCATTCACTATGATGCTGTAATATTTCATTTCCAAAGTTGGAACAGCGCTGTTTCGATATATCAGTGTTGCGAAACGCCCAGCCCTAGATATTAGGTCACCTTTCACTCATAGTTATGAGACATATTACATTCAACATTACACATACTTTTTTGCATAAAATATGGAAATCACATGCAATTTGAAAACATATTTTTCATATTAATGCCTTAAAATTAGAACTATTCTGGTACCTTTTAAAAATTGTGACCTTCACAAAATCAGTGGCACTCAAAGCCGCTCATACTGAAAGAGTGAATATACCTGATGTTCACCATTTCTGATTGGATGCACCACTGATGAAAAAAATGCTATATATGTTACTGTGTGTGTACTGTGAATATGGTTTACTGGCTGGAATGGTGATAGATCTGTTTTTCTATGTCATTGGTTGTTTTTGTTTGCTCGATTTTTTTCACTCGATTCCATGACTCACTGTTAGATTCAAATTCCAGTCATCAATCATTGAGTCATCTGAATCGATTTCATTTTTGATTTTCAAATTGAAATCATCCCAAATCATTATGATGCAAAAACTAATGCTGAGCTAATCTTGATTTTTGGATAGTATTTTACCAAATATATTTTCAATTGTGTCCTCCTTTATTGGCAAGATTGCCAATTAAAAATGTTCAAATGGTTTTATTTCTGTGACTATGCAAATATTCTCCACTTTTATTTTAAGCTTCTCAAATTATTATTATCCATCTATAAATTTGCGGCTTTATCATGGAGATAGTTATGTTATCACAATTATTGGAATCGCAATGGGACTTCATTTTTGGCTTCATTTTTTTAAATATCGGATATTTTATAAGTTTTATTGTCGCAATCTTGTAATGGATTATTTTTTCATAATTTAACAAAAGGAATTTTTATTCAGGAAACTCTGTAACAACTCGTTGTGGAATCAAGTCATGTCGGATAACACACAATCTTGGTTATATTGCGAACCATCCATTATATTGTCATTGGGGTGTGACATGACGTCTGTTTACCTGATGATATCATCAATTCAATGACCACTGATATGATCTGACCATTTCTTCACTGATGGTAGGACATGTATTTCAAACCCATTTGCTTTTGTCAAGCCTAACCTCCATCTTTGAAAATTGTTATAGTGCAATTTGTATTTTTCCCAAGTGCTGCTTTTTGTTTATATTTTATTTTGAATATGATTATTTCCTTTTTTGATTCTTGACAATTGGGTATTCTCAAGTTATTATGGAACTTTTTTTTTCATTGCTAGTATTCTGTAGAAAAAATTTGCTTTGAGTATGTGCCATGTTTTTCTGTGCTTTTTCAGCCAACTTTTTCTCTATTCTATTCTGTAACTTGTCTAATTTTTGCATGTAAAAATGATGAAACATTCTCTGATTGGTTATGCAGAAACATGGTTGTAAGCCCCGTAAAATATAAGATGCAATTTCTAATACATTGATCTTGTTTTGTGCAAGACAATTTTGGATAAGAGTTTTGTCATGGCGTAATTCAGTAACTAAATATATCCTATTAAAATGAAAGCTCTGTCAATTAGTGCTATGTAGAATAATTCTCCACTGTTTTGTTGTTGCAGTATTTAAGCATTTTTCATACCATTTTGGTGGATGAATCCTACAATACAGGAAACATGGAAAAATGATTGAACAAAACCATTTATATTTTTTTCTGTTTAAAAATTTGCTTTTCAAGTGCCAAAGTTCTCTTCAAGACGAATCTTAATTTTTGACTTGAATGTCACTGATGTTATCATAATACCTAGCATAGAACAGGATGAACACAATAGTTCATAGAATACACAGACTTGCTTCGCCACACAATCCATCAAAACCTATTTTTGAAACATTGTTTTATCTATTGCATCAAATTCAATTGATCCCGTCTTTTTGTGGTAAATTTTTGTATGACTCGAGCATATGTCAGATTTTTTCTTGGTTTAAACCAGGGGTGTGCAACAGGCGGCGGCCTGCAGGTCACAACCCGGCCCGCCAAGCCATTTAGTGTGGCCCTCATCAATGCTCAGATTTTTCCCCATCAAGCATAAATTCCTAATCCAACAGTTTATGTTTAAAAGGGCGCTCACATGGATAAAAATACAAAATATCTTTTTGTGCTTGATCTTTCACCGTTTTGCCTGGTGCTTTCATTACTGTAAGGCTAAGCAATAGCCTTCTCCTCCCTTTGGTTGTCGCTAATGTATTTCGCTTGGGTGCTCAAGGAGTATGCGCACCAAGATGTCGCACAACCTGAATCCTAACCTGTACACTCATCCTATGTTCAGGTTATGCGCCATCTTGGTGCGCATACTTCTGGAGATCCTTCCCTTGTTTTAAATATTATATTGTGGCATAATAATCCATCATTGTGGTTGCTTGGCACTTCCCAGCCACCAGCTTCCTGAAGCAGCTCAGCAGCCTATTTTGCTAGTTTCACAACGGCACTATTTTTTGTTAATTTCAGGGCTACCAAAATGTAGGCAGCTAAGAAATGAAATTTTTTGTGTGGCCCAGCTAGATGTTTGAAGTATTGTTGCACACCCTTGGTTTGAACCCACAGTACATATTGGCATAATCTGAGATCTTAAGTAGAACCATCATCTGCCAGGTTGATTGTCTGTATCATAACCTCAACAGCTATATTTTCATCTTATTATCTAACAAGGTTTCCTCAGAAGTGTTTTCTTTGCATTGTGCAGTTTGTTTCATTTATTTCTTTTCATTTTCGTATTTCAGTTGAGTTTTTCTGATCATGTCGTACTATCCGTCCAGTAATTACAGTTTTGAATGAATGTTACCAACACCAAAATGAATGTTTAGTTTAAGTTATCCACATTCAATACATTGACCCAGAGTTATGAGTTGATTATTGTGCAATAGACATCATCTTTAGTGTGAAATTAAATTACAGAATTTTAACCTAAATCATGTTCTTCTTGCGCTTCAAAAAAACGTTCATATAAAGTTGGTGAAAAAGTTTTTTCAAATTGGTTATCCTTTTTGTGGGCATCTTCTATAAATTGACCAGTCTTGTGGGCAGCATTCATGGGAAATCTGATGCTGTGAACGGCTCTTTTAAATCCTGATATATAATATATAATGCCATGTTTGCTGCAAAGTTTTTCGATCAATATTGGGTGGAACATTTTTTTAGAACATTCCTAACCGCTTTTCTTCCGTGGCCCATTTTTGCTGAACAAAAATTCTGTGGTCTATTAACTTTTTATGCAAGGGAAAAACTACAAAAAAACTGTCCGCAAAGATAGACACTTTCACTTTACTATTTAGAATGAAAATTACCCCTCAGTAGTAAAAGACATCATCATTCATTGGCACTACAATCGAAATTTAACTATAGAGACACAAATGAAACTGAATTTATCAATAACTTTAGCAATTTTTAACAAGTTTGTGGTCCACTTGGAAGTGTCGCTGTGGCCCAGCAGGGGCCATGGCTCAACCAGTGGTTTAGAAACACTTGGAAAAGGTTCATTCTTCATTAATGAAATGTAAATGGATTATTTGTCTGCCATTTAACTGTGTGATGGTCAGCATCAGGGTTTTATGAAAGGAACATTTGAAGTCATGTTTGTACTTTCAAATTACCACCCATGATTTTGAGTCATTGTCAAAAAGGCATTGATCAACACAGATTAGTTTGTAGTCCAGCTTTTTCTTAGCACGAGAGCTTAATTTGAAATTTGAACCTCAAAACTTCACAGTCCTCAATATTATAATACTCCAGATATTTTGTTATGGTGCTGGAATGAATTTACTCATACGCTCATTTTTTTATGTTTTTGATACCTCAGGTTATTGTATGATGTACATAGTTTTTGTATTTATCATTTCTTTCACATTGTATTCGACATTAAAGTATCTGCCAGGAAATGTTATGCGTTTTTCTACTCCAGGTTGCCTCATGCTCGGTGCTGGTGTCATTTTTGTGGCAAAAAAAAAACTGTTCGAAATTTTTGGTAGTGCAATAACGGCTGCCATAAAACTCGTCTGTAAAAATAATTATAGCTTTCCAGTGACGGTGAAATTTGAGATGGGTTAGTCCAGGTCTTTCTTGCAAAGGGACGCACTGGGAAAAGTACTTAATTTCACAAATTGTCTCCCAGAGCATGGTGCCGCACAAAATGCTATTTATTTATTCATAGTAATAATAATACTAATTAATAGCAATGATGGGAAACTAAAGAATATTAGTAGTCAATACAAATTTTAGAATTGGTTTCCTTGTCTTGTTCAGTCATTTTCCTAACTGATTCAATAATTTTTTTAAAGTGGTCGAATCATCCGTCTGGAGCTATATCAGACAACGCTCGACTCTGGCTGGCTTCGTCGCCACGGGGACCTTATCTTCGCGGTTTTCTGGCCGGCAATCGCTTCTTTTTCTCAAACAGTCGTTTTTCCTAACCTTTATATCGGTGTGTTCTCGGTCTGTCTGTATCATTTAATGCCTTTTGACACTTCCTATTTTTAGTCCGGCAGAATCGGGCCTCAACATTGTTTTGGGACTGTCGATGACATAAATAATGATACCCAGGAGGGTGTGGAGTAGAGATGTACCGATAACACTTTTGTCGCCGATACCGATTCGATACCAGCTAAAAAGGCCGATACCGATACGCCGATACTATAAAAAGGCCGATATTCCTATACCGATACTATGTAATTATTACTTAATTAGGTGTGCTGTGCATGGCAGACGGGTTAAACCAATGGTCATTGAGCGTTGTTCATAGTACACATTATTTCAGATCGAAAAAAAGATATATATATATATATCACATATTATGAAATTGATGTTTGGTATCCAGATGCTTTACCTAATTAAGATGCATTGTACAGTGATGCTAGTAATCTCCCTGTTCAATTAGAAAACTCATAAGCCGGGATGTCCAATTCGAATTTAATGTTAATATCGCGACCTTCGAATATCGTTATTCGTGATTAAAAGAATATCGAATATCGCCCAGACATTCTAGCGCCGCCGTCCTACGTTCAAATTAAAAGCATTTTACAAATATTTTATTTTGTGGTTAATCGTAATCGTCGCCGCAATAAATCAAAATCAACATGATAGAATATCAATCAGCACCGACAAGAAGAAGGCCTACCTATAACCGTCGAGGATGTTTTTTTACTTTACTATTTTATAATATTTTACAATTGCTATCATATATTCTGAGACAGTCTAACTCTAAGCGGTCATGTCAATATATATATCTATAAAGAAATTGTGTAGTTAAACAAAATTAAAATTAATACCTGCGTAAAGGGATAATTGTGTCGGAATTTAGTTTATCGATGTCGACGGACTAAATGACACTCGTACTTGAAGACAAACAGTCATAATTTATAGCCGTGCCAAAAGTGCATGTGCTGTTAAAAAAGGACTCCAATTTCACTGTATGATTTAAAACTGGGCGCCTAGTTGCTTTTTGTTATGTGCTGTGTTGACATATTTTTTCATAATTACTATGTAATATCGAAAATGTCAATATAAAAATTTGGCAGCGAAAAGAGCCAAATTAGTTGAGCTAGTTTGGCTGGTAAATAGCTAAAAACAGGTGAATCCTATTCCCTCGCGGGGGTGGGGACATGTATGGCTCATAACTCACGATCTCTCCAGACAAAAAAATAAATTAAAAAGTAGGATTCCAACTTATCTTTCAAATTTTAAAACATCCTGGACGATATCAAAAAGAAAAATATATTGGAAATATCGGCATCTAACCGATACCGATACATGGCCGATACCGAAAAAATGGCCGATATTGCCGTTACCGATACATCTCTAGTGTGTAGTATACAATGTTGAGCAATTTTTTTCAGTGGATTTTAAGTATTCGTACCAAGATGACGCACATCCTGAACCATAACCTGATACCCATACAATTTAAGGTTGTGCGCCATCTTGGTACGAATACTCCGGGAGCACCTTTCTGTTAAAAACAATTATTTTATAACTACATGGGTTAGTTTTGAATACATAGTAACATCGAATCTTCTTACAATGTTGTAAATTCAATTTTGGTAGAATAAATGGTAGGTTATTTCACTAATATAAGCCAAGATCCATCGTCAGCATCTAGCCGCTTTCTTTTGCGATCTTCAAACTACATTTGTGTTGCCGTGGGCATTTCGTTTTCCTGCTTAAAGCTTAGGGACTTCGAAAATATTTAATTAGTTGAAATGGATTGGAATATTCGACCTTGTCTTTCACTCCGAACAAGGCCATGTAAAGCCATCCTCTGGTATCTAACGATGTGTAACGTGTTTTATTTTGGAAGAACACGAACCTTTCAGGTGCAGCATCGACTTTGGCAAAAATTACTATATACTTGTGGAGATAGAAGGTATGCGTATGCGAAAACGAGATGTGCACCTGTTATGCCAACATAGTTGAGTCAAACATGTTGATCACTAGTACATCACATAATGATAGAACATAAATTCAATGACGTGCAACCTCTAGGACTACGGAGTAACTGGGAGGAAATACTAAACGGCTATCTGACGTCCTAGCAAAATAAAATCTCAACTTGGAAACTTTTAATCAGCCCCCATAAATGGTAGACCAAACCAAAATTCAAAACTGCTCGACGAACGTCGTTTTTAACCTCGATAATACCATCCGATACAGCGGAAATGATGCCCGCTTCTCGGCCTTTTGGCTAAGATCAAGTGATTGTTCGCTGTTTAATTAGGTCTAGATTTGGGAAAGGCCCTTCCCGTCGTGTTTTTTATTTAGGGGCCTCACCATCAGCTTTATTGAGGAAAGCCGAGTGCTATCGAGATTAGTAAGTCAGCGAAACACTTCGGATACTAAACTACCTGGAATATACTCCAAAATGGACTACTCCGCCGCCGCAGCAGCACAGCCATCAGAATTAACAAACTCACAAGCAAATACGCAACCACTTACAGTTTATTTGAAGACTAATCAGGACCTGGAATTCTCTTCTTTGATGGACATACTAAAGGAAAATGAAGTAACTCAAAACTATTGCGACCAAATTAGAGGGTTATTTGAAAGCCGAAGAGGAACTTGGCTACTCTCTTTTGCCGAAAAAGCTGGGAAAAGCTGCCGGGACGATTTCCTTGAGGCTACCGGTGGATCGATTAAATCAGAGGGAACATCAATAGAAGTTACGTTGCCTAACAAGCCACCAGTGCGTATTTCCATCAGAGGAATCTTCTACGAAACGACCTTCTCTAAGGCCGCAGCAATCGTAAACAATCTTGGGTGTGGTAAAATCCGAAGTGCCGTCAGAAACTACTACAGGGGCAGTGCAATTTACAATGGATACACATCCTTCCTGATGGATGATTTTAAAAAGGAAAGATTGCCAGCTTTTGTCACCATCGACGGTAGAATTTGTAAAACCTTCCTCCCAAGGGAGATGTACACACCAACGTGTGGCAGATGTCTGGAAACGGGTCACATTTTCACTGAATGTGAGAATGAGCCCGTTTGCAGACACTGCAAAAAACCTGGCCACATTCAGAGGAATTGCGATCAGCGAAAAATAGAATATCCTACACTCCAGCGCAACCCTAGTAATGCATGGTCCGCCCCCAGAAGGAGAGAACAACCCCCTACTGTTCAAAACATACCAAGAACTAACCAACAACCTACACAAGGCAATGGTCCTATACAAGACGCGACTCTAAACACACAGTCGCCCGAAATAGACACAAACGTGGAAACCTCTCATATAGATTACGAGTTACCGAACAACCATCGGGTAAACGAACGGCAAATCATTGAACCGGAAAATACAGATGACCAAAAACAAAACGTAGAACCAAAACAAAAAAAAAGTATGACACAATTGGAAGAAAATCAAGAGCCCACACAATTAGACACTCGGAATTCTCATCCACGGCAGTAGACTCATCACCAAACCAATTAGGAGAAACATCGAATTGGTCAGAATGTGACAATATATTAAGCCCAATTAGCAAGACACCGTCGAAATCAATTAACACCAGACCTACCCCACGATTGAAGGAAACATCAACAATCGGCAATACGCCCTATAATCCACCATCAAAGGGCGGGGCGTATGTGAAGGTGATGATCAACAACATAGAACGACATGACACAACATCGTCCTTGTTCTCTGCCTCCCCACAAGAAGTGTGGTCAGCCCCAGCAAATTTAGAAGGAAACAGACCCCTACCTCACATACCAAATATGGACTTAAATGAGTCAATTATGGAAAAGAAGGATTATAATAATAAAAGATATAGAAAGGATACAACATCCTCAGAGTCTTCTTGGGACAAGGGAACTACTGGAGCTGGAAAAAAGAAAAAATGATGTGAGTTGACTTTTTTTTTCTGCAAGTTTCTATGAGTATTTACCTGTTCACCACAAGTATTAGCCTAAAATATATCTGTTTATATACCCAATTCTATAAGTCATGGATGAGATAAGCCTAATCTCATTAAACGCGAATGGCGTCCAACACCATCTGAACAGTCTCAAAATTTTCATTGAAAATGAAAAACCTAATGTCTTGTGTCTACAAGAAGCGCACAGATTAGACAAATTACTTGTAGAACGTTGGGCGAATGACTTAGGGTATAATATCTTTTTTAACACCCTGGACAAACTGGAAAAACATGATACACAATTTAGACAAGGAACGACAATACTAGTCAGAACTGAAAATACAATACCCTCCCCAGCATATACTATACACATACAACACCGGTGTGATAGTACTGAAATTCTGGTAGACAATCAGATAATAAAAATATTTAATGTATATAGCCCTGCCCAAGATGGACCTGTGAAAACAGAATTTTATAAACAGCTGGTGAATATTTTGACTCACTACTGCGTTTTTCATGACTTCCTAATAGTAGGAGATTTCAATCTTATCTTAGACCCAATAGACTGTAGGATTACAAGAAATTTCAAACTTCGGCCCCCCAGTAAAATTTTTCGAAACTTTATTCAAACTAATAATATATCTGACACTTTCCGGAAGAAATACCCCAAAAAACAAACCTTCACGTATATTGCCGGATTACAAGGACGCAGAATTGACAATATTTATAATTCGCCAAACATGGAACACATAATCTCGAATATAGGCTACGCAATAAACACTGTTTCCGACCATGTGCTCTGTCCGTCCATTAAATTGGAGCAAACCAAAAAAGTCCGTTGGGGAAAAGGGACTTGGAGGAACAATTTATCAATATATGATGATAATACGTACATCAACATTATAAAGAATTCCTACGAATCTGCCCTTACCGAGTTGGAAGGTTTCGACAAAATCCAAGACTGGTGGGATAACGTTAAGCGTAGAATTAAAAAAGATACAGTAGCGTACTCCATATCCGTCGCAAAAGTTAAAAACAACAAAAAAACTCAACTACGTAACATTTTGGACAAACTCATTAATGAAGGAAAAAAGGTAAATACATTAAGAATCGAAAACTTGAGACTACAACTAAAACATCTACAGAATGAGCGAATTAAACTAGATGTATTAATGGCAAACATTAATGATTTTGAGCACGGCGAGAAGCCTACAAAAACCTTCTACGCAAGAATTAAACAACGAGCTAAAAAGACCACAATTGAAAGGCTAAAAACACAAAACAATGATATTGTCAGCAATCAAGATGAAATTATGTCACTAGTGGAAGGCTTCTATCGCAATCTATGGGGAGAAAAACATGAAGTCATCGAACAACACCAACAACATTACTTATCCCTGATGAGCTCCACTCAAATATCGGAAGAGGAAAACGCTATTTTGGAACACCCTATCACCAGCGACGAGATCTATAATGCAATTAAATCACTTCAAAATAACAAGTCTCCTGGGATTGATGGATTCAGCAAAGAATTTTACGTAACTTTTTGGAATATCATCAAAACGCAGTTTACACAACTTGTTAACAATGTCTTCTCGTTTGGCCCATTTCCACAATCCTCAACATTATCTAAAGTCAAGCTCCTATATAGGCTTGCACGTAATTGACAAAAAACAATTCCGTAATTACGGCCAAATCGATTACGTAATGACCCCGTAATTGCAATATTTTTTTCACACATTTAAACCTATCATAACAACCAATTGAATCCACTTCTATTCCGAATGGGACATCGAAGTTTGGTTTTCATATTCCTGGCAGTACTACACGCCGGCGACAGATGCTAAAGACAAATATCAAGGAGTGAATTCAAATTAATATTATTCTGATTTTTATCTTTTGTGTTAGCTTTGATTTTCCTTTATCACCCAATTTCATGCGATCAATTTTATCATTACCAACACTGGTATACGGATATTTATGAAACGATAGTTGACTTTTTAAAATTGTATTAACGTATTAATACGACTTTCGTATTAAATAAAAATTCCAGATTTATAATTTAATAATCAGACTAGTTATTTCATCGTTTTTTTTCACAATATCCGACTTTACTACTTAGTTAGAATTTTATAATAATTATTGATGCCGACTTATTGACGATATTCCGATTACCATGCTTCATTTTACATTAAACCATTTCGCGGCCTAAATGTTATAACATTATTTGCGATAAATTCAGATCAAATATTAATTATTTGCGCAAAATTTAAATACCGTACTTTTATGACATGCCTTCTTCGAAAATACAAAGTTATATCGCAAAACAATGCATTTTGTGACATTTATTTTGCACTCACGAAAATAATAATTTATTTTTCTAACTCAAGTCGACGATCCTATCGGCCAAGATTGACACAAGTTTGGTCGAGTGCCGGCGGTATTCGAGTCGACGATAAATCAAAATAATTTGCCGCTTTCGGTAAAAACAATTAATCATATTTGGCCAAAATATAGCGAGGTATTGTGAAAAACATATTGAGCAAGGCCAAGTCTGGACAGATATATAACGATAAAACCGGTAACAGAACATCAAGATTTTGTAATAGAAAATGGTTCTCGCGCAGAATAAACACGGGAAATCCCGTCGTTTCGTTTTCTCTGCCGTCTCAATCGATTTACCGATGCCGAAAAAACTACCTAAGTAAGTTGCGTTGGTTTATTACGCAATTTCTCTTCCGTCGTCATATTGTTGTTTGATAAGCGCGACATTAATTATCACGGCATTTACAAATAGACCATGTTTGATAGGTTGATCTCTTACATTCGTTAGTCATTTCACCCGAAGAAGTTGAAACCAGGTGCGTTGGCGTCCATCGGTCTCAACACAATTTTATCCCTTATCTAAGTTTAATATGTACTTTGGCCATGCTAGATAAGTTGATGATAGGTTAGTAAATGGCAACGCGTTATGCCTTCCCCACCTGCGTAACAAGAGAGAGAAAAACGGCTCCTAATACCGGAACTCTAACTTCTTCTACTTATTAAACTTAATTTTTTACAATCAACGGAATTGACTGCTCTGAAGAGAGCACGTTTCAATCGCGAAAGCGCTCGACCAATAATTACGAATTTACGTAATTCGTAACTTCGCTTACGTAACTCGAAATAATTCCGTAATTCCGTAAATCCGTAAATTACGTGCAAGCCTACTCCTATATAAAAAAGACGACGAAACCGATCTAAAGAACTGGCGACCCATTACAACTTTAAATATGGATTATAAAATTATTTCGAAAATTATAGTTAAACGTCTGGAACCAATCATGTCTAAAATAATCAGTTCATCCCAAAAATGTTCGCTTACCCACAGAAGTATGTCCGACGTACATTATAATACCGACGCTATCATACGGTACTGTAAAAAGAAAAACATCCCCGGTACAATAGTCCTAATTGACAATTTAAAAGCGTTTGATAACGTCGACCATGACTTTTTATTTAGCATTCTGAAACAAATTGGGCTCGGAAGCAAGTTTCGTAATGTCATTCAAAATATGTATCTTGATATTAAATCCTGCATCGATGTAAACGGTAAGATGACAAATGCAATCACCATAAAGCGGGGCATAAGACAGGGATGTCCCTTGAGTATGTTGCTCTATGCAATAAGCGTCGAGCCCCTGGCAAGATCTGTGCAGATGAATACAAACATCCACGGTATCAAACTGGGTAAGTGCGAACACAAATTAGACCAATACGCTGACGATTTAACTTTTACAGTAGCAAACCATATATCAATAAATGAAATTTTCCAGGAACTACGCAATTTTCAGCTCGCATCCGGTCAAAAAATTAACAAACAGAAAACCGAGTTCCTATGTATAACGAAACCTTCTCAAATTTTAATGTGCAACTCTTCATATGGACAATATATTAAAGATGACGTCAAAATATTGGGAGTAAACTTTGGACAAAAGCGACCGGCCAAAATGTGGGACGAACTCGAACGTAAATTATCTCGGACACTAAACTATATAAAATCTCGGCGGATGACGTGGTATGGAAAATCGGTGGTTATTAATTCGTTAATCATGTCTGTAATACTATTCCACGCGAAGGTGAAAACAATGCCAATGGGAAATATAAAAACATTTCAAAAATTAATTTTCAAATTTTTGTGGTTCCCGGAAAAAATAGAATCAATCAATAGGAAGAAGATGCAATTACCTTGGAATCAGGGTGGAATTAACATGACTAACATGAAAGCAAAAGTAGAAGCCTGTCTTGTAGAAAAATTGAAGACACTCGTGAGCGGTAGTAATCTTGACCAATTTTGGCATTTCGAAGCCCTGTATTCTTTGGGCTCAAAAATAAAGATCGTAAATAAGGAGTTGTACAGTAATTCGATGCCTCACGATATCTCAGTACCTACATATTGGACATACATACTAGAAATTTTTCGATCGGTGAACTTTTCGCACGATGAATGGGAAATAGTCAAACACAGAGACATTTATCTAAAACTTAAAGAAAACTGTTTAGACCAGCGACAAGATACCATCAATTGGGAGGAGATTCATCTTTTACAAAGAGATGATCGTTCCTATTATACAAACGCGGAACGAGTCTGCTCCTATCGAATTGCACGGGAAGGCTATTTTTTTGGGGATAGATTAAAAGGAACAACTCTTAGATTTGGACCAACTGGAATCTTAAAAATTATGAACTGCAAGTTCTGTAAAATTGCGTCTGATAGCACCAACCACCTATTTTTCCAATGTAGTATAATAACGGCATATATTGCAGAAATTACCGAGATCCTAAACAGCCTTCTTAGCAATCCCATCACGGTGTCAAAGGAGCACATATACTATAACAGCTACAATGGTTTGCACAGAATACTGGTTACAAAATGTTTCGTCATCCTAAAAAACATTGTAATGAAACTGAAGGTCCAGCTAGACATAGGAAACAGGTATTTGGCCCCCACTGATAAAAATATAGTAACAGCGATAACACTAAAAATTGCAGAATTCCTTTTTATAATGGAATACAAATTCCAAGATATACAATTTCTCGGACTCAGGACAAATTGGAAAGAAATACTAAACGGGTATTCCTCGACGTAACATTTTAAAAAGAATGATGGAGTTTCTCCAGCCACCACAAATGGTAGACCGAACACAATGTCAAAACCGCCTATTTTTTAGCCTTGTTAATACCATCCAATATAAGCGGATGTGATGAATCGGGAGCCTCGCGGTGGAAGTCACGCTGCGTCCTGTACGCGGTATGTACAGAAGCCGGGTGGTGGAAGTTGTGCTGTGCCCCGTATGGCATAGGCGGAAGCCTTGGGTGAAAGTTATGCTGTGCTACACATAGCATATACAAAAACCCCGGGGCGAAAGTCTGTGCTCTTTTGGTGCTTGGCACATACCGAAGCCTCCAGAAGTAGATGATTACTGCATGCAGTAATATGCTTACGAGGCGATATACCTTTATGGCTCGGATATGACGTGTCTCTAAGACACTGATCCGAGTTTGAAAAAATTTCTGATCCGCAATAAATTATGTGAAAAAAAAAAAAAAAAAAAAAAAAAAAAAAAAAAAAAGAATCGGTAGCTTCTCGGTGGATGTCATGCTGGGTTATACGCGGTATGTACGGAAGCCGGGGTGGCCGAAGTTGTGCCATGGCATGGGCCGAAGCCCCGGGTAGAAGCATATGCATTGCATACGTAGAAGCCTGGGGTGGAAGTCAGTGATTTGCTGGTGCGCGGCACATACTGAGGCCCCCGTAAGTGTATGACCACTGCATGCAGTAGCATGCTCATGAAGCGATTAACCGATAAAACTCGGATATGACGTGTCTTCAATACACTGATCCGAGTCTGGAAAACTTCTGATCCGCCAAAAAAAAAAAATAGTACATCACACACATCTTCCTGTGTGCTTCGGTTGTACGTAGTATGCATCAAATTCCACTTGTTTATTGAGCTATAGGTTTTTGACGAGCTTTTGTGTATGATTTCATAGAATTTGTATGCTGTTCTGAGGAATACTAGTTCCAGCTTTTTCATTTATTCGAACCGCGTGTTAGAAGTGAGTTTTGTAATATTGCGTGTTGCTTCTCAACTGGTTTATTTATATCCATCACTGGACATCCTCAAATCGGTGGTGCCAGTAAATCTTTAATACAAAAAGTATCAGTAGCATCTGCAATAAAAACAGCAGTACCCACTCGATAATATGACCCTTATCTGACATAGTTTTTCAACTGTTTGGCTGCATAAATTCTACATTTCTGAAGCCTTGAATATTAAATTCTATATATATATATCGCAGAATATAGATCAAAAACCTCATAGCAAAACAAATATATATACAAGATTTCTAGTCAACTATCCTGAGGTTATCCGTTAGCAAAACAATTGCTGTCATGAATACCCGCATGTAAGCAGTACAAAAGTTAACGTGACTTGTACTATTAGCGCAAAATGCACTGTCGACGTTCATTTTAGCATGTGAAACGTACACAGCAACAGTTTCGCCGAAAGCACGCGCCATGATTGTACGAGTGCATCCTTTCCATCCAATTTTTGATTACTACAGTTAAACTACTACTCCTAATAAGCCAAATTGATGATTGACTTATTTGATTCGAGCCTGAATTTCGGAATCACGACCAAAAACGAATAGCATTCAAAATCGCAAAAACGAGGTATTGTTTGAAACCACGACTGAAAATCTGTCCTAGTGAAAGGGTGTCTGAGCGGATGCGAAAGGGTATAATTTTACGGCACTTTTTGCATCTTGCTGATTGGTCAATGTTACGAAATGAACAAGGAAGTCGATGATCGGGGAAACATCTCTTAGAAAAAGATTCGCCATTTTTTTCATGTTATTGCGGGCCAGATCTGGCCCGCGGGCCGTAGTTTGGTGACCCCACGTCTACACAGTAGGCTACTTTCGGATCTTTTGTACGCAGCCGCCACCCCTAATGCAAAAATGTGCGATTTGACAAAACACCCCCGCCATATTTTGAATAACAAATTAGTAATTATCCAGTTGGGTCGAGGATAATTTCAAAATCTTGAATTTCCAGCGCAATCGGCATTGCTTATTTTTTTAAGCGTTGGCGGGAGTGTTTTGTGGCGGTGGCTTTGTACAAAAGATCCATACTTTTTTATGGAACAGTATGGTTTTTCAAGTAGAATCCTCTAAGAACAAGTAGAACAAGGTCGCGGCAACTCTTTTAAGACACGAATTAGAACTGTTAAATTTGCAACAGAACACTTTTATTTCTTTTCTGCGCAAGTTCTGATTTTTAGTATGGATGGATGTTACTTTTTCGTTCTCCAATTCGCTCCCAAAATAGACATTTTTTTTAAAATTTGGTTTCATGTCTAGATTTGTAAATTGAACTTTTTTCCAGTTATGTTCGCGTAAATATATCTCCGAAACATTTCTAATTAGCGGTAACCCTGCAACATATTGTGTGTCAATAGGACAATTTAATTGTTTTGTGACGTCACAATATTTACAAAATTTGCTCTTTCATAAGAAGAATTGAAATTAAGATAAACTATTATTTAGCCTGAATCTTCCCAGATTATCGGTTATAATATGGATCATTTGATCAACATACCTTCTAAGCGATTTGTAATCACGAGGACAAGATCAGAGAAGGTATGTTTATATCGGATAAAGGGAGAAATAACCAAGTTCATAAGTTGCGTGTATTTTTATTGCAGATTTCTTTCTACTGGTATGCTTTGAATTTGTTTGTCTGCATTCTGTTTGGATGCATCTTGCTGATTTGGGGAATTCTTGCTCATCTCGCAGAGTCTGGCGTGTTTGATCGTGGGGAATTCTCTGGAATAATCAAGCGTGCTGATATCGTTGCGTACCTGCCCACTGTTGGTACTAGTTTTGGCGACGTTTCGTCGAAATTTCTTGTTGCTTTCGCAATTATATTGGAGACAATTTTGGTAAATATCAGTAACTTATATTGTGGTTTATTGGCGATTTATCACTTATAACCTAAAACCGTGGTTTACAAACCAGGTCATCGGATTGTATGGGGCGATTTGCGTTCATCGTCAAAGGAGCAGTATCGATGATTTTCCTGACAAAGAACTGAACGCATCAGTGTGTTTTATCCATATTTTGAGAATCGCTATAGTAATATGCCTTGCTATAGGCGGAATGTTATACTTTGTGGATTCACCACTAAGAAGCCACATGTCGTCTCTGATGTCAACCGCAATACCCGGGGTTGAGGAGACATTGGATCGAAATATTATGGATGTATATCAGGTTGGTTTCAAAATATGTGAAAGTTGTAAATACAAGAAATGTTGGAAAATCACCATTAGGAGCATCGCGACTGTGCACCGCATGCGTTAGATTGACTAGTTAGATATTTCCATGCTCGACGTTTAAATCTATACCTTCTGTAACGGTTTTGATTGTGAATACAATTTTACGATAAACATCATACATTGGAATACGGATTATATTAATAACGATTCAGCAAGCCAGTATAAACGATTTTTCCCCACAACGATGTCGCGACTAACGAACACGACAATTTTACACATAAATATCAAATTCTTTTATTCCGCCTGCAAACCAGTCTTTGCGCCCCAAATGCTCATTTATACAAAATTGGTTGTCATCCCGACAACAGTGTTCTGTATCTGAGACTACCTACTACAATGTCAACAATATAATCATCACCGAAGCCGGAAAACTTAATTGGAACTGACTTTGGAAGAAGAGCTCAGTAACATTGACATGATTGAAACTGTTAATAATTTTTTTTTTGTGGGCAGAAATATTTAAGATTAAAACCTATTATAATTAGTTTGTTTGTATATCCATTTATTTGTAAATATTGTGTAATATGTTAGCATAGAATTTTGTATTCGAATGGATTAATGGCGCAAGACCACAGATGTTATAAGAAACATAACACATATTAACAACAACAACGCCATTTTATACAAAAATAAATGTTGTTATATGACTCAAATTCAAATACCTTTATTTTAGAGTACATTTCAATGCTGCGGCCATGACTCTCGCAAAGATTGGATCCAGGTCGACAACGATACTGGTATTGTTCGCGATTGGACTCCGCAATCCTGTTGCATCGATAGATCGGATTGTACTTTACCTTCTGAGACCATCTTTACTGATGCTGCAACATTTGCTATTTTGGAAACTACAAAAAGTCCTGTGCTAGATACCTCAATACCATTCGTAGTTGAAAATGGTGAATTGATCAATTTCAATAAAACTTTCAACAGAGGATGCGGTGAGGCCATTCAGTCATGGCTAATTATCCATGGTTTATTGCTATTAACCTTCACTTTCGTTTTACTTCTGCTCCATATAGCATGGATGGTTTGGCGTAGAAATGCCCGACTTCCGTCTCTTTTCCGTGGATGCTGTGAATCATATAGAAGAAATCGAGTTCAACCAATTTGCCTCAAAGTAAACGAAAGTTCAACGGATTCAAATATCAGTTTAGTTTTTTTTGAGGATGGAGTCAAGAACGGCAATAGCAGCAGCAATGAGACCATAAGTCCTAACAATATTCCTAGTTCAGAGAACAACCATGTAATTGTTAAAATACAGGAATTGCCATCAATGTCACGAGTGCAACTCGAAAGTACAATGTTTACCCCAATAGACAATCCTCTTCCAGCAATAGGTACCATGAACGAAAATAAAAGCAGGCCTCAAACTTCGAGAAGGAGGCCCCACCCCAAAATAGGCCTGTTTTTGAGAAACGTGTCTCTCAAAGATTACTTCGGAAACAGCGGCGTAAACTTACGTGATGAGACCAGGCCAAGACCTCCTACACCTGCTAAGATGCCACTCCAGGCCAAGAAAGTTCATAAGGATATAGTCATCACCTTTGAAGCTCCCGAACTAGATTTCCCGAAACCTGTTCCTACTACACACCCATGGGCAACGACTGTGCTAACAGTGCAAGCTTTAAAAGCCAAGCGAGATAACGATGACAAACTTTCCATCATTAGCTTGGAGAGTTTTGATGGATGATGACGGATTATCACGCCTCGCTGTCCTGTGTACCACTTCTTGTTGAGTACGGGAGTAGAAATTTTACCCTAACTTTTATTGCTTTTTATTTTGAAAATAAAAACGGACACAAAATGCAAATATGTGCTTATTGATAACTTATCTGCGTATACAGTCACTCATTCGTGGACTATAGGGATTAGAAGTATCGGTATGTTTGACATTGCCAAATCGCCATTTTAAATAGTTGATGAACATACAAAACTTCTGAGCCTCCAACCCACTGGGTCATTCCGCTTCATTTAAAGGTAACGTTAACGTTAATATAGTAGGCCTAGTACATACAACATATTGTAATTCAGAATTAAATAGTTTGATTTCAAGTACGAGTTTTTAACCTGGACCTCATACTCTGAATACATTTGCAAATAGATTAGAAATATTAGCGATAAAGGCCTTTGGGAAAGAGAAATGCAGCACATGTCTTCGACATAAAAACAAAAATAATCAAATATATTGTTATTTCGAGCTAGGGTTGTAAGTTTCAGAATTTCGAATCGTAGCAATTCGAATCAACATCAATTCGAGGCAATTTCAGCAAAATCGGCCGCATTGTATTTAAAAAGATGACAATTCAAATACCACGAGGCGATTGCACGACGCTGTGGCGCTATTAACCAAAAGCGTTTCTTCGTTTATTTTTCTTGCGTTTGCAGTTTCCCAAGTCTCAACACTCCTGAGGGGATTATTGGACACGTAGTGGACATAACGATCGTTTCAATATTATGTTATTGTTCTAGTTATTCTTCTCCTTCGTCATGACGAGATCGCTTTTCTCTTCGAATACTGGACCAATTGCTTTGAAATTTTAAGTGGTTGAAGATTGATTTTTTTGCCAGAAGGCTATTACTTTTACTTATTTCAAAAATTTCTGTGAACTTCAAGAGATTCGTTTGTTATTTGTCAGAATAAAAAATAGCGACACCTTGCGACGTGTCCATATATTTGAGCACAGCTCTCTTGTTGTTATTGGACACGTAGTGGACATAGCGATCGTTTCAATATTATGTTGTTGTTGTTCTTATTACTCTTGTTTTTTGACACGTTTTTGAAAAGTCGCTTTTCTCTTTGATTACTGGACCAATTGTTTTGAAATTTTCAGTAGTTAAAGATGGATTTTTTTCTAGGGGGATATTACTTTTCTTCCTTCCAAAATTTTGTATGAAGTCTATGAAATTCGATATTTCGTCCAAAATTCTGTGCAATATTTTTATCTATGGGAACATGGATTTTAGTCCGCGTGATGACTGGCTGTACGTTTTGATTCTGCAAAATTCCTGCTACTGAAAATCTGGAATTTTCTCGAGGGTACCGGTAGCGTCAAAGGTACCGGTAAGGACTGATTCGCTCTCGTTTACGTGTCCATATATTTGAGCGTTGCTCTCTTGTTTCTTTTTCGTCATCATCATTATAAAATCGCTTTTCTCTTCGAATACTGGACCAATTGCTTTGGAATTGTCAGGGGTAAAAGTTTGATTTTTTTGAATTCTTAATGACAAGGAAGAACCGTTCCCCGAATGAATATCAGGCACTGGTAAGTTACTGTACCGTACCGCATATGATTATCGGGGAATCCATATAGGGAGTCCTCGGGTTACGAAGGTCGCGACCTACGCTGTTTCGAGGTTACGAACGCACTCCATAAAAAATATAAAAGATAATACTGTACTGTACAGTATTTGCTTTTATTCATGTGATATGGAATTGTTTTCTGTTTTTTAATAGTACTTTTTCGCATTATTTGTACATTTTATTACAGTACCATACTTTACAATACAGTACGATATGTATAGAGAAATTTATGTAGGCTACTGTACAGTATAATGTTCCGACTTACACTGAAATTCGGGTTACCCCGCGTCTCGAGAACGGAACAACGTCGTAAGTCGAGAACTCCCTGTATTTTCTTTTTGTTTTGCCATGGTGCCATAATGGAAAAGTGACTCGGATCACTTGGTACTTCCATTCACGTTGAAATTGAATGGAGAAGAACAGTACAATCAGAATCCAAATTTCAAAAGCACAATATAATGCAGCTCTCACTTGGCGGCCGGAAACGATACGTCAACAAATTGGTCGAAACGAGAAAGGCAGTACACGGAACGAATGCTTTATCGCTGTTGCGATAATGAAGTGACCTATTTTGTAAAATGTTACATGTTATTAATATGAACGGGTTAAATACATTATAATCCATAGTTACACAATGCACATTCGCTACAATAGCAATATCATGACAATATTTTTATTAACTCATATGAAAATATTTCTTTTCAAGCGGATCCATTTTATATTGAAGAAAAGCTGAAATAAACATTGTTTCTACAGCTCGCTGAACATAAGCCATGCAGCGGCCCAAATATACTTTTATTTCGCATGATGAGCAAACAAAATTATTTCTATTTCCTCTTGGTCCAAAACAATGTACATTGATATTTTGATGTTGTAGCGTACCGGCAGTCTATGAAATATTTATCCAAGTTCAGAATATCTTCCAATATGGTCTGACGTCAAGTTTCCTCTAAATATTCACTTCAATTTATGCAATTTGTTCTATTTATCAATTATCCTCCAATGAAACGGTTTATACAACCAAACACTCCAAAGAAACGGAAAGCACACAACAATATTAGGCAGTTAAATGTAAGAAAATAAAAAAAATAAAAACACTGACGGCCCCTGAACTAGCTACTACAATTTGCAAAATAGGCTGAAAATAACTTATGACAGGCATTTCAAAAGACTATGAACAATTCTATATGTGCACAACTTTTGAACAGTACTGATGATAGCTAATTCAATGATAAAACTGAAAATACAACACTAAATGAACTGCAATGGCACTACACGCAAACAGCAACAGGGTCCCAACATTAGCTCACTGTTCAGCACAAAAACATCCAACCAATCCCATCCAACAGTCACAAAACCACAAAAAAACATCCCCGATAACCCACCAGAGACCAGAGGCACTCCCACAGACACGAAACACCCAAAATCCAACCGAAAACAACCACACTGTACTGCTGCGAAACCACAGCATCGGCTGACAGGACACTAAAGGACAGATCGACAGTGTCATAGCGCCCCCAGTGTATCCAACGCCAAAATACCAAATATGGAAACAATATCACATGACATCATTTAACAGATAAAACAAAGGTTGTCACAATGTTATATATGAACTTCGCTTGATTAGTGTAACGATTTCTGCAGTTTATGAGACGTGCCTTCTTTCGATTTGGAATTAAAATAACGCAATAACTCTTGATGTTTATTTTATTTAAATGCAAACCGCTGTCAATCATATGTAATCTCTTCATAGATGAACAGGAGGTGTTGTTGTATACCAAAAGCTGCTGATTTCGTATTAATAAATTTGTTGATGAGTTTAGAAGTATTAGTATTTTGACTATATTACATTAAATCAACTAATTACAGTGAAGCTACCACAACCATTTTTTCTATCTTCCACATTTTCTGCAATTAGTTCTAAATCTCCTTTTATCGAAGCTGTTAGCAAAATAGACAACAGAAAATCGGGATCATTCCTTCCCAATTCTCTCTCTTCTTTTGCTTTTATATATTGGATGCTTTTTCTTCAACTTCCTTTTTAACCAGTCTGGTCGATAAACGGGAAGAGGCGTAAAAAATAAAAATAAAAGATTATGTCATTTCTATTTACTAGAAAATCCAGCTCCCAATTTCAATGGAAATATCATATTTGATTCGTAATTCACGCTAAAGCGCTAGTTAGTAACATTCAAGTTATAAAGTCTGATGTTTTATTCTTTCAACCCACTGGATTTACAAATAAACAACGATGGGTATATAGCTGCAAGTATTACAGATTCATAAAAATGTTTTGAATTGTGGAATATATTTAGCTATAGCTAATTCAACTGAAAGCCATTGCTTGTTTTTTCAAATGTTATGATGAAATAATGAATGCTCTTATTTTATTGGGTGTCCATAGTCTTTTTACAATTTTAATTTTGTTATGAAGTCTGTTCTCAATATATCTTGAACAATTTTTTTTAATCAGTAATTGTTTTTACTTCATTTAATACATTTGTGAGGGCCAAAATAATATATGGTATTTTAATTAAAAAATTCAAAATACTTTAGGGACACTTCATAATCTTGAAGTATAGGTTCAAATAACATATCCGAAAATCCCAATTATTTTGTTCCTCGATTTTTTTCTTACAAAATACAAAGTTTTTATTTTTCATAAACAAATTTTTATCACATTTGCATGTTTGTTCTAATACTAGTTTTGAAACGTTTGGCCCGGTAACGTGTGCCAATGAAATTACGACATTTTCAATTCGCAGAAAGTACAAATCTCTTTTATGTATGGTATTACTTCATTCTAGTATTCCACTATATCCGCCCCAATTTTTAAAAACTTTGAATTAAATTTCAGTCTTATGCAGATGTATTAGGACATCAGTGTTTCTCAAACTTTGGTATTGCGACGCCCTCCTAACAATATGATCAAGATGAGACTCCCCGTCAAAAACGGTGAATAGCTTTGATTAGGAAACCTCTTTTACAATGAGTTTTATTCAAATTTTGCCTGAGGAGAACTGCTGCGGTGCGGAACAACGCTTGATGTGTCCATGTTCATGAAATTAGAAATGAAAGACATTCATGGCTCGATCTGATCCAGCCTGTGTGATATCATAATTGGAACAGTATTGAATGATCCGTAACGTCTGTAAGGTTACATCTATAGATAAGATCGATCGTTACAATAATTATTATATTGCCATTTCCAGTTCTCAAGTAGGATTAAAACGAAAGTTTTGCGACGCCCTAGCAAAATTGAAACGACGCACTTGGGCGTCGCGACGCCCAGTTTGAGAACCACGGTTAGGTAATGTTTTGTTTCTTTGAATGTTTTTCCACAGAATCTAAAAAGTTTTTGCACATATGCCAATATCACTTAAAATTCTCTGAAACAAATAAACCAAGATGTTAATTATTTTCATATACAGTATTTTATGGTTTTTAAGATTGTTGTAGTTGCATATGTAGTTTAGGTTCCAGAATATGGACAACAGCAAGAAAATAAT